GTCTTCATTTTTCTGTCAATCTATTCCACATTTGAGCAGCATAAAAGCTAAAGACAGCTTCACCACATTAGTTTTGACTCTGTGAACAGTCAGGAATCCAGAAGCTGCCAACCTGAGGGGTCTGTGGGGTTTCTACTGGGTCAGGAGATCTGATAAGTATCTTAGACCTAAACAGTTTGGGGATTTATGGACAAGCAGTAGAAGAAAAACTGTCGGCCGATATAGTGATCTGAGAACTGGAGTTATATGCTGAGCTTTTTTGATCCTTGGTGCAACCTTGGCAGCAGCATTCTGGATCAGCTTCAGCTGTCTGATTGCTGATTTAGACAGACCTGTGAAGAGTCCACTGCAGTACTTCAACCTGCTTGAGATTAATGCATGTACAAGTTTCTCCAGATCATATTTTGACATTAAGTCTCTGATCCTGACTACTAATTTAGGTCTTATTTCAGGATAACACTGAGGTTTCTGGCTTGACTTTTCTCTTCAAGGACAGACTATCAAGAGCATTTGGAGCAATGCAGAGAAAAAGTCAAATAAAAAGACAGTTTTTTATGTTTCTATAAAAATATATATATATATATATATTTTATATATGTTTCTTCTGTGATATTATGGGCTATCAATAACTTGACTGGCTAGGTTGCAGAAGTATATTTCTTGTAAAGGTCCTGTATGGAACCATTTGGAAGTGGTTGTACAGAGAAAAGGTTTAGGCTAGACTAGAAATGTGCCTCTAACTACTGTGCACCTCTGGCTCACTGTCAGTTGGTTGGTCAGTTTCTTTGCTTCAGACGGAAATAAATATCTAAATTGATTGTCATAAAATTTGATACAGAGGATGAATTCTACTGCTTAGTGATACCTGAACTTGTATCTAGTGCTTCAAGCATATGGTGGGGTGTATAGATGCCTCAAACAAACACAAACTCAGGTAAGTCATGTAACATAAATATTTTTCCTAAACTTAACCAAACTGTGACCATTTCATAACATTGCCCATGCAAGTTTTGTTTTGAAAGTCTAACCAGATGTTGCATCTTTACTTTACTTTTCAACATTGTAACCAGAAGTTACGCTAGAAGGATACCTAAAGTGTCATATTTTAAAGTAGAGGCTCACTGACCAAGCTGAAGAAGTTGGGAGTGAGAAAGTGATAGGATACCCCAGGAGGAGTCTTTGGCTACTTTGCTTAACCTGCTGCAACCAAGACCTGGACAAGTTAGCATTGTCATTGTTAGACGTTAGCATTTAGCTCAAAGGACAACTGTGCCTATATACAGCTTCACAGAGCCACAAGCAGGCTGTAGATTCTTAGATATAGTAGAATTTAAAAACCTGTAATGTGTCCGTATCCAGCAGGTTTTAATACATTAGTCAGCTAACTTTTTAAATAAGGAAAACATACAGTAGTGTAGATGTTGCATGTGTACCACAGGGTGACACAGGAATTTTTCTTCCCATCCTGCCTATTCTCACTTTATTTATTTTCAGTGACTTTCTTCTCAAATAATGATATTTAGGCTTCAGACATGACCCTCTATAAATGACCCTCAGATGATACGATGATACGTAACTGATAAATTGCTCATGGCTCGCTTCCACCCACAAGGCTTTATTTATCTTAATCTTAAAACTGGGGGGGCATGTTGGATTCCTCATCTGAAATCAGCCACTAATGTTCACCTTAGACAATATTATATCCAGTGTTTTTAATGACAACACAAGCACACAGTTATAGTACTGTATCGGAGCATTTTCCAAACTCCCTTTATTTCTTGTGTCAGATGTGCAGCTTTTCACATCCTCAGTCAGTTCAGTCAGTGTGTAAGACATTTTTTGCCCCTTGACTCATGGGATCAGCGGAAACCCAGAGGAAGTGAGGTAGGGTACGTGTGTTTGTTTGCGTGTTTGCCCATTTTAAAATGGGTTTGCGCACGCAAAAGGGGGCATTCCTGAATCCCACTCTCACTTCCCGGCTGTGGATCACTCAGTAGTCTCTGTGGGGCCGTGGATAAGATCAGCCTCAGCCCCTGTCGCAGCCACAACAGCCTCTGATTACAGACCCTCCATCTCATCAGCAAAGACCCCTGAGGAAGTGAGGGTCATCTCCTGGAAATGATACCCTTCCTTATCTTAATTAGCCACCAAAAAAAAAACTACTAGAGGTCTGGTGGCCTGGATGCAGTAAAGAGGTTCTGAGGAGTCAAAGGATAAGGAAATCCACATCCTAAACATTGACCGCTTGAATGACGTAAACTGCACCTGTGTATCAGTACAGTTTCCATCATGACTTTTAACAAGCTTATAACTCAAGACCTTGCCTCATGGTGTAGATTTGCTCTATGCCAATATTATATTTTACCCAAAGCATAATTGAAACCCTGTCGGCTGTGGCAAAATTTAATTTTTTTTCAAGATTCAAGATTCAAGAAGCTTTATTTATCCTGAGGGAAATTGCTGTGCAACAATTGCGATACAAAAGTGGAGAAGTAATACAAGAGTAAGAGTCAAGCTTGCATAAAAATAAAACAAGTAACTAAATGCAACAAAGTGCAAAGCACAATAGGATAAAGCTAACATAAAATAAAGTACAACAGTAACTAAATGCAACAATGCCATAAAAATGACAGTTAACGTAGATATATATAATATACAACAATACGCACTGTGCAGTTAGCTGCATAAATTGAAATCTTTACTGAACAAAAGCCACAGTCAACATGGTTTTCTGGAACACTGTGCAAAACCTATATGAAAAACTGGACATGCCTTTATGGCTTTTCTGAGTAGCTTAACCTATTCTGAAAACAATAATAATCAGCTAGTCTTGTTAAGACAACTCATGACTGTACCAAAGAGTTGTAAATAATGGGAAAAACCAGCAAAAAAGGCCTCAAAGGTCAAGCATCATTATCACCATAGCAATTAACATGCTGCTGTATGGTAGAGCTGCAACGTTTAGTTGGTTAATTGATTAGTTGTCGACTATTAAATTAATTGTCAGCTGTTTTGATGATCGATGAACCATGATTTTTAACAACATCAATATTTTCTGCTTTGTTTGGTCCTCTATGACAGAAAACTAAATACCTTTGGGTTGAGGACGTCACCTTGGACTTTGGAAAACAGTGATCAACATTTCTCACCATTTTCTCACACTTTATGGGCCAAACAACAAATTGATTGAAAATAATTATTAAAATAATCGTTAGTTGCAGCGCTATTGTACGTCATTTTATTCAAAATCTATAGCTGTATATCTGCAGCCTTTGATAAGATTGTTTATTTGGACACATTGCATTTGTCTGTCTTCAAATGTTAAAATTTAAAGATGCATTATGCTATTTTTGTCCACTTGGGGGCAATGAAACAAGCAGTAAACTTAATATCTGACATTTGATCATCTTATTAGTTGTTCATATTAGTCAGTCCCTCTAGGAAGTTGTAATGTTGCAACAATTAATGCAAATTCACCCAATCCCTATGAATTAAATGTAAACTTGCAATTTTGTCCAATCACCACAACCTTTCTGAAAATTTGACCAATCATTGTAGTTTCCTGCACAAAACGAGCCATACGTCACTTCCTTTTTTCTAGCTGTAAAGATGCTGACATGTGTGGCACAAATGTCTCATATATACCCTCAAAATAGTAGGGTTTTATTCTCACTGGGACAAGTTGCCTTTGATTAATGAATTATACGCAAACTATTTTTACAATTTTTACTTTCTTCCGCAATTTTTTTGCACATAACATACATTGCAATTTTTGTTACTTTTTTTGTTACTTTTGTTATTATGAAATCATTTGAAGTTTTATTTGTGTCCACTTGGGGAAGGGAATAAGTCTAATATTCATTCTCCTTTTAGCTCAGTTTTTGGTCTCCATCAACCAGTATGTTTATCAGAGCATTTTCACTGAAAAAAAACGTGTCTTGTTGGAATGGAAAAACAAGATTGATGATAGCGGTGAGAATGAACCAAAATTGCAAAGGCAGTTAAATCAAAACAATGAACTAAAAGATGCTAAAATGCTGCGTTGAGCAGAAGGGAACTGCAGACTTGACTAAATTTCAATAAGTTTGACCCCTAATTATTGATTAGTCCAACTTTAAGATGCTGATTTAAGCTCAAAATGTTTGCCCTGTTAGGCCTAGCTATAATTAAACCTATGGCCAGAAGCAATGTTAGACCTATTAGCCCCAGCTCAAAGTTTGATGAATCTCTTATACTATGATACAATGAATGTGTCAAAATAAGCTAAAGGCAATAAAAAGTGACCTTGTGCTGTGTGGGAACGGGTTCACGGGCAAGAGCCTGTGTGATCTACAGAGGGTTTGTTCATCAGAGGAAATGAGTGATGTCAGTCCTCCAACCTGTTATGGTTGCTTGCCCATTGTTTGGCAAGCATTTCCATCACAGCTCCCAGTTGCCTGAGTGGACTTTCAGTGTCAGCAGCATGGAAAAGAGGGGAAAGACCCCAACCTGAGCTCACATCCTGCTTTTGTTGGGACACTTTTAGGAATGTTGACGATCAGATAAATATTTGCTCAAAATTTCCTTTTTTCATATTGCTAAAAATGTGAACATCTGCAGCCGAGCAGCAACATGTTTTTAGCCTTAACATCCTTCGGTGGGTTCTTAATGATGCAGTAAAGCATTTAAAACTCAAACAGAAGTGACTTTAGTTCTGCAGCACCCATTGGAATTTTTTTTCCCAGATGAAAAATGCTACTGTCCTATTTTCCCTGTTGTTGCATGATTGTCTCAGAAGCTTTTCCATATTACCATTATTATACAGTGATGTACAAGGTGAATCAATCTTGATGTCTGGCGTGAATATGATTCAATTTAAAAGTACTGTACATCAGTAATGCCAAAATATGCCCTTCCATATCCAATACCATTCATAAGTAAAGTCTAGGAGCAACAGATTCCTTTTCTCATAGTTTACTCCTGGTATCATTCACTGACCTGCACAACTTATGTTTGTCCAGGCACAACAGGGGAGTTCCAACCCTCTGGGTTCAGGCCTGGGTTACCTGACACACATCTGCCAACTCATCGAGAAGATCGGCCAGCTGCAGGAGACAAACTTGCGGCTGCAAAAGCAGATCTGCAGCCTGCAGAAGAACAGCAGAATGACAAAGACCAAAGAGGTGTGTGACTGTTTTTCAACGTATTTTTTCTCACGGTGTAGCTCTGTTGCAAGCAAGCAGTACTATTGTACTACAACAACAATACAAGGTTTTATAATGAAATTAAGGTTTTCCGTCCCCTCATGCTACACAACATAGAACAGCAGATAATTAAGAGAATAACATACAAAATAAATAAAATAAAATAAATCAATATATACAGTTATTTATATACATACATGTATACAATTACATGGCAATGGCTGTGCTCTAAATAGGAGAACCACACGTTTTTAGGGGGGATTCAGAAATCCTGGACTGACACTAGTGCAGAGAGTTTTGGGCTCAGGGTCCGGAACAGTTCCACTGGAGCAATGGCTGAAGCCAACAGGGGTCCTGGACTTCAAAGCTTATAAAGCAACCATGCAAAGGGAGAGGAAAAGAAAGGCTCACTGTCATGTATTTAATTCATACAATCACTTTTTTGTGTGTAAATCTTAATACCTTTACATTCTACTTCTAATTCACATCAAGACTTAAAATATCTGAATATCCTTAAGTGATGGACCAAACCATCTGCTCATACAAGCCTTTTTGTATGATTCCCTGCTGTTATATTCTCATATTCTCATAAAGGCAGGCAGAGGACCAACAAAACTGTAACCATCTAAAGTACCTCCATACCCCAACAGCAGGGTAGTGTAGACCACTGGGGCAAATTAGGATTGTCAGATATCCTTCTTTTTAATGTAACTGCCATTGCTGTCCTGCTTTTTGCCCTGAAGATGTTTGAGTGTAAGTGTTGTTGTTGTTGTTGTTGTTGTTGCCGTCCTGCTTGTTGTTTTAATGAGACCAAAGACAAATTTTCACATTGTGGACAATAAATGAAACAAACAAACAAACAAACAAACAAACATAATAGCCTGGATTCAACATCATTGGTGCATATGTAATCCATGAGTAGAATCACTCTTGTAGAACACACAAACTGTGCTTGACTATTCTCAAACCTGTATTCCACACAATCTCCCTGAGCTCTTGACCAGAGTCTCTTCAGTTATCTAGGAAGCAATGGAAAGGACATTCCATGGTGTTTCTTTCTCCTCGATTTACTTCATAATATCCCAAACAGCTGTATCCTTTGCTGATGGTTTAAGGCTCATTGGCTCACCATGGGTGTCCTCTCTGAATCCCCAAAACTCCTGTGTGAGGGCTTACCCCACAGATAGGGTTGTCCATAGTAGCATCTACCTTGTACCTACAAAGGGAGAATTGCACAAATTCATCAATTTCACTTTACAAAGAAAAGAAAATGTGTATTGTTTTGAACAGATTACCTACTTCAGAAGTTAAAAAAGACTATAATTTGATAAAGAAAATACATTTTGTAGATTTTTGTCAGAGGAATCAAGAAATATTTTTCACCCATAATTTGTTTTCAATCTCATTTTGTTAAAAAAAGAAACGTGAGAAAATACCCAGTATCATGACTTGTATCGAATTGTGAGTCGAGTGTATTATTACATCCCTAGTAGAAACATGGTGGACCTGCCCCCTTCAAAAACACAACAATTCTTATCTTCAGGTGATTATACACTAATGAAAACATAGCTATGATATTATATTCCATTGATGACAATAGATCCTCCTGAATGTTACACACTAGACCTTTCAAATCTAAAAACATTTTAGTTGAATGTCTTACAGTACATTGTATATGTTCTTTGCCTCCATGAAGTAGGACATAAGACTGCCAGTTCAATTTGTTTGTACTGGATCATATTGTTTGCCTTTACCCAGTGATCTCTTCTAGCTCAGTCTCTATTGTTCAATGCCTGGTGCTCTTATGGAGACCAGGTTGTTGGTGCCCACTAAAAGTTTGGCTTAGCCAGCGTAGATGTTTGCTTGATGCTTAATCTCTGGACCACACTGCTTCTTCCTCTAAGTCGGTTGCATATTGCTTTTGAGGCAGCCATTATAAAAATAAATAAAAACACTTATTTTCTATTGAGTCTGTAGCATTTGGAACCAAAGAATAGATGATTCAGTGAAAAGACACTGGATTTGTTTAGATCTGTAAAATTCTGTGAATACCTAGAGGTCTAACAAAAATAAAAATGATTAGGCAGCGTGCCGTCATCTACCCCCATTACTCTCTAAAAATATGGTTATGTAATAAAGCTAAGAGAGAGGTGCTTTTGTATATCATGAGGGGAATGTGTGTATGTGGGCTGATGGATGTGTTGTTCTAGAGGCCCATTTGAACCTTTCCTCCACAGTAGGTGAAAGGTAACTTCAGAGCAGGGAAAGAGGTTATGTGGCAAAAATCAGGAAATGACTTTATATAATGAGCCACTTGGGTTGCATGATGAGGCTGTACAGGTGGTGTGTGTCTGTACTGTGTACACATACACATGTAAAGTTTTTTTTTTTCTATAGTAAAAACATTATTCCACACAATAGAGCAAGAAAACAGACATCTCATCCCTTTAATCTGCTGTCCTAGTCTGCATTTGTGTAGTTTGCACTATTATGGGATTTTACTTGGAAGTGATGTCATACTGTAGTTCCCTTTCAGTTCACATGGAAGGATGTGACCCACGCTCTGGGAGGACTGTTTTATTGTTCTTTGTTTCACAGAGTCAAAGAATGAACATACAGTATACTGACACACATATACTACACACTATCATTTTCAACCAAAATATGCACGTGTGTAATGGTAATGCAACAATACACTGTATTGGTTCACCCACGATCACTACAGGAACAGTAAATGAAAAAATTAGAAAGGCGTCTACAAATACTGTTGGGGAGAAGTGTCACAAGATGTGGCAGTGCTACCAGTTTAAATACATTTCCCAGGAGAGCATAGTTATTGTAGTTTATTTAGTCTAAATAGCAAGCTTTGTTCTGCTAACTGTACGTCTCTATGTTTTATTTACTCTCATTCTCAAGAAATTATAGCACTAAATACCGCAGTCAATTTATGATTTATTGCTAAAAGGAGCGCATTTGTTTATTACATTAGGAAACGGTAGTGAAAGCTTCAGTGTAAGAGAAGCTTGTAGTGTAGCTTGTTGTGTTTGTAGCTTATGCTACTTCCAGCTAAGAGTAGTTTGTACATTTGCAAGCTACATTTTCAAAGCACCGTACTAAACATCGCCATCAGGTTATCACATTCATTTATCACCATAACTCTTTCTTGGTTTTATTCATTATTAATTCTACAGTTCCCCTCCAGTGGACAAATGTGGTAGTCCGCCACTGGTACTAGAACTACCTCGAGAGGGCAAAAGCAAGAAAAATAAAAACTATATACTAACTTTAAAAGCTATCAATATCTGCTTCTACATTGAGGTTAGACCCCATTAGGTCGCAGGCTATTTATGAATCTTGAATTTAACGACTGATATTGTTATATTGTAATATTAAGCTGTATGTCTTTACTTGCCATCTTTCTGAACAGGACTTTTTCCACCAGCACTGCAGCTGTGGTGCAGCCAGCATTGCCTTCCAGGATGCTCAGAAGAGACACTCCAGAAGTGAGTTTTTGTCTCCCAGTGGAACCCTCTCTGACCTGACCACAATCCCAGAGGTCACACGGCATTCATTCATAACCAAGAGAGGTAATGGCAAGGAAATTGTTCAGAAAAGAAACAAATGGCATTCAAGGTGCTATTGAACAAACTTGTGTTCAAACATTGTGAGCACTTCTCTGAATGCAAGTGTTGAGCTTCATTTTCCCTCCATAACAAATATGACAAATTAGATTTTCACACTGTAAACAAACCCTCAAGGTAGTCAAATGTATTTGGAAGAGAAAATGAAGGTTAAAAGGAAAAAAATATTATCCAAATGTCTGTTGTAAACCACTGCAGATTACAGACTCACTTCTGGCTTCAACTTTGACCTACAACACTGAAGGTTATATAATACATTTGAAAACATTAATATAGCAGCAAACAACTATTGTCTATGTAAAGATAGTGGAGTTGTGGTGTCCTGAGCAGAGAATAACTAGCTAAAGTTACATGGCAGCAATAGCAGCCCATTTCACGGCTATTTTCTCATCTCAGTCGGTGAATTAAGGGTTTATTAAGACCAAACCAGAGTTGGTGATTGCTTGAAAGGCTGCGGAAAGACTAATAAAGATGGTTTTGGTGAGTTTGAAACTGAAAGTGTAAGATATTCTTTAGTGGACTGGGCCCACCAGAGTTCCAGACTCTGAGACATACTGTACTTTTTGCTGTGAGTCAAGTGAGTCCCCTGGAGGTTATTGAAACCACTCCTAATTAACCTTTAGCATTTAATTACTAGTAGGATCAGCACTTAATAACCTGCTCCAGTGGGATGTGTCAACAAACACACACAACTACATATTAATGTTTTAGTTTCAGTGTTTGTCTGACACGTTCCTGAAATGGATCTAACAGTTATGTTATTAAAAAGTTTTACTGGTACTTCAGTTTCACAACCTGACCCTGAGGCAACCCCACGTGTTTTTCTGCCTCTGTGTTTACCTTGTCATCTGACACAAGCTCCAGGTGATGTTCGTCATTTGGGGATACAGTCATCCCCCCTAGATGTTGTCATTGCTGTTGTGTTTTTGGAGTGGCTCACGTTGCCCGAGGAGGCGGCAGTGTTTGACAGCTTGGTGGCCCCCCGGGGTACATGAAATTATAACTGGAGTGGGACACGGGCGGAATTCCTGGCATCCTGCTTATGACGGGAACACATAATGTCCCGTGGACTCTGGAATGCCTTGGTTCTTCCTCTGATGGGCAGGAAACTGGATCTGGAGAAGAGGTTGAGAAGTCAGGAGAGACGGGGGGCCCAGATTAGGTGCAGTGTTGGAGTGGATAGCTTTGTTTCGGTCAAGGTTAAATGTTACTATGGAGTAAAACTGTATTGTCAAACAGCCACAGATTGTTGGACACAGGAAGGAGGAAATAATGAGTTAGAGGCAGAGAAAAACAGGATTAACAGTGTTTAATGCTTGTGGAATTGCTGTTGGATTTGTTGGATTGTTGCATTCACTGACAAAGGGCACCAGGTAATGCAAAAGTTTCTAAATGCAAGTTTGTAGTGACTGATTTTCATGTACTTAGACACAAAAACCTTAGTCACAGCGTTAGCCCTAGTTTGGGGGTTTCCTTATCTAGGAGCGTGCCATGATCAGTAGAAACTGTGTGCCCATGTGATGAGGGGAGGTGTGTTTATATGGAACGTGGGAGAAGTGGGGAGTGGGATGAACAGGCAAAAAACAGGACTGTGCTGATTTCCATCACCATTTGTCATAACAGTCATCACTCCCTTCTCAGCATGCAAGCAAAGGCTTCCAACATGTGGACAAACACTCCACCTCGCAAACCAAACCTATACAGTCAATCTGCAACATTAAAGATACTGACATTATGGTGTAAGAGTGATCATTTACACTGAAACTGGCTTTCTAAAGGTTATATGTCTGGAATTCACTTGCCACTGGATGTCGCACTAGAGCACCAGCATCTCAGACAAAAACACTTGGACATATATAAAATATAACTCACCAAAACCATCTTGGTTAGTCTTTCCACAGTCTCTCCAACAATCACTAATGCTGGTTTAACCACAAATGAAAAGTTTTATACTGCTATCACTTACCATCAGATTTCATAGGCAAAAATGGTATATTTATTATCCGAGTTAGAAAGAAAATATCTGTGAAAAGGGCAGAAATGGCCACAACGTAAGCCAACTTTAATCCTTGGGGACAAACATGCCCGTCAAAGTACGTCCACTACAAGTGCTTGTTTTTGCCACTGACAGGCTCACATTGTTATTCTAAGTGCCTGACAATATTATGGACAGACCTTTAGTTTAACCAGAAACAGCTGTAATACTGCCACTGGACTCCATAGACAAAAGTAATTTTACCTCTTAAAGAAGCAGTTAACTGAACTTCAAAATAGCTTTAAAATGATTGAGCTGCCTTACATAAGTACATGAACAGTGATTTCACTCTTGCTTACCCGAGCCAACTCTCCCACACACACGGTAACTGCCTCCTTTTTGTGATTTGTGTTTCAGACACCAGCAGTGAGGGTTTGACACCGGTCCCACTGTGGAGAAGAGGCCTGAACCGAAGGAGTTACACAGAGGGGGAGGTCCACTTCCTCGGGGACAGCACCGAAGGGCTCTCCAACCCCCAGCGCAGGGTGAGTCATGTGCACAGGCAAGCATCCCATTCAGCAGTGTCTTGATATTGTTAAAGATAGGACAGCATTTAAAATATTTTATATCCATGACTGTCTCTCTACAGAAAATAATACATCTTTAGCACTGATTGTATTGCAACCTTCACTTAAAAAGGGTGGTGCGTATCTGCATGCCAGGGTGACCCATGCTACAACCCCCCGCCAGCACACTCTGAATCACTTGAGGTTGCCCAATGTCCACATTCTCTGTTAGCCATCTTTATGGCAAACAGGCGCAGCACAACTCTCACTGATGACACATGATGAATGACATGCTTCCTTGGAGGGGTGATCCACCTTCTGCAAGGGCCCCCAGCTGTTGGGAATTGACAGTAATTAATGTAGCAGGGAGGAAATTGCTGTCCAAACACAATAAGTCTTGTTTTTAGCTTGGACATCATGCATTCTTGAGTCTTTCCAAAGTGTGTAACATTTAGGAGGATCTATTGTCAGAAATGGAATATAATATTCAAAGGTATGTTTTCATTAGTGTATAGTCACCGAGAGAGTCGTTGTGTTTTCGTTACCTTTGAATGTGACATTTTTATCTACAGAAGAAATGGTTCCTCTTCTATGGAGGCCGCCATGTTGAACCGCCATGTTTCTACAGTAACCTAAAATAGACAAACCAAACACTGCTGTAGATAGGGCTTTTCATCTTGCTTTATATCTGATCAGCACTGCCTAGTTTGACAGTTTGAACTGAGCTGGACGGACTCACTGAGAGTGACCTGTCAATCACAAGGTATCATATTTTACTAAATGAACATCATGCTGTATGGAAGAAGACTGAAACTAGAGTCTGAGACCAGAAACTCATCAGGAAACTTTTTTTTTACTGACATAATAAATCATGTGAGAAGTAGGCTCATATGTCAATAAGACTCAATACTTTTTTGCAGCCAATGGAGCTGCCCCCTGCTGGCCATTAGAGATAATGTAGGTTTAAAACACTTCTTCGTTGGATTTGCTGCTGGCAGGGCTTTTGGTCTTTTAGTCACTTGCTACAGCTAAAAATATTTTTGTATTGAATTGTCCTTGTGTGTCTTTGTGTTCAGCTGAGTGAAAACTACACATGGGGCCGAGTCAAAGACCTGGTGAGGAAAACAAAACTAAGGAACCAGAGCAGACTGGGACTGACTTCCACTTCACTGAAGATGTCCTGCCCACAACTCTACATGTGAGGAATACACTACAGAACTGTCACTCTACTCTGTATATACTACTCTGTAAAGTGTGTATGGACCATATACACATAAGCATGAATTATTTTGGCATTATACTAAATTAGCACTAAGTGAAAACCCATTTTGCCCCACAAGTTTGTCTTTTTTTCATACACTATATGGTCTAATATATGTGGACACCCATGGCCAGATTTAGTACTCAATCAAACTGCAGTTTTTATTCCCACTTCATGAATACTTTCTAGTCAGCAACAACATCACTGTGACAGAACAAAAGAGAATTACATAAAAGTTAAACCTCCTCAAAATACAGACAGTCCCCAACCACATAATGGACCGCACCAGGCACAGACAGCCCTTCCAACCCCTACTGAATCCCTTCAAGACAGGAACAGCCTTTATCTTGACATATTACATAAGCTTGTGCATATCTGCATTCTTGTGACTAAAAGAGAATCATCCTGTTTTCTCTTTCCTCTAAAATGCTAAAGAATCTCAAATCTGTTTTCAAACTCTCTTACAAAGCCCCAAACATTTAGTTCTTTTGTTTTTCTGGTGATGTCTCGTCCTTTTTAATTGAAATGGCTCCAGCTCAAAACCACTGAAAAGAAGCTGTGCGAGTTTCCCTTGTTTGTTGAACAAAACCTTAAAAAAAGAGAAGGAATTCAAGTTATTTGACTGCAGTGAACAAAAGCCAGCATGAGAGAAGAGAAAGGCATTTTTTGAGTTGGAAAAATGGTGAATTTTGGGCCAGAAGAAGAGTGTGACAGGTTCCTGGCAAATGGAGATAAAAGGAGCTATCAGCTTCATTCTTGCCTGCGAGAGGAGGGGTCTGCTTGTGGATGAACTGTGGGGTTTTTTTATTTGAGAGGTTGTACAGTGCAGGAGTCTGATGGCTGCTGGCCCTTCAGCCTCTCCCTCTGTCCTGACTGAGCTTGGCACGGACCCAGATGAGTAGGGTTGGAGAGTCAGGCCTGAGGTATGCCTGGAGGAGTGGGAGAATTCCCCCCATGGATTTAAGCTGAGGCCTGGTGAGATATGGCTGCAGTCCAGGATTCATTCGAAAGAACACCACCCTCCTGCTGAGACATGCACGCCGGCCTGCTGCAGAGCTTCTGACAATGTGGGAATAACAGACAATAAATGTTTTCTCATACTCCCAGGCTGAGCTCCCATGATGCAAACTGAAGGAGTGTCCACCAGAAATACTGTTAAAAGTCAGTAGCTCTCAGTAATAACTGTCTCCTCTTCTTTACAGGCCTGATCGGGGACCAGTAGAACCTGCTGGGAGAAACAGGAACTCCATGATCACCTTGGGCCACCAGAGCAAAATGGACTTCCTTTGGCAACAATAAAGATGCAGGTATTTTTCATCATTAGTGTCATATTTAAAAGGTTATATATGTACAAAATTCACTTGCCACTGGATGTCGCACTAGAGCACCAGTATCTCAGACCAAACCAATGGGACAGAAACAAAATAAAACATCTTTGGTAGTTTCTTTCAGGTCTTTACCACAATCAGCAACTGTGGTTGGGTCGAAATAAACCTTTAATTTGCAAGTCAGATGTAAAAATATTTGCGAAAAAGGATACGTAAGAAAATGTCAATACACCTACAGAGACAGACCTTTTGTTTAACCAGAAAAATCCGTAATATCACTCACCAGACTCCATTGACAAAAACGTTAATTTAACCTTGCATATCATCATAAAATCCTAACTTCATTCAAAGTGGACAGAAACAAAATAAACCCCACCAAAACCGTCTTTGTTCGTCTGCCCACTGTTCTAACAATTACCAACTCTGGTTTGGTGGAAATAAATCCTTAATTCAGACGTAGATGATAAAAACAGCAGTTTCAGTCGCTCTACTCAGCTGCACACGGAGCAGACCGGCTGTGGAAACAAACCACAGAGAGGCTGCGATAGCAACACAGGCAGAGGGAGAGAGACACCATGACTCTACTATATCTTTACATAGAGAATAGATTATTTGCTGCTATATTCATTATCTACATCTCTCAGTAGTAGAGATTTAAAAAAAAATGTTGAGCTCGGGGTAACGGGGAGCCTGTGATGTTTGGTCTCTGCAGAGCTGTTGTGAAGCTCAGTGTGATCGGATCTGGCCATTGCCATTTTGGCTGACCCTGCCGGTTCCCGGCTAATCAAAAAATAGGCTAAGAGGTGTCGCCTGATTGCTTTAAACAGCCGCCTGTGATGGCATCCACCTGTCACTCAAAGCGGCCACTCCCTTAATTATGCATAACTTTAAGCCTTAATATAATGTAAACAGCTGGGTTATAGTACAGCTGTCATCAATGGATAATTAGCTATAGACACCAACAGTGTTTTTTGTACCAGGCTGTAAACATGTTTATTTCTGCTGTAAAGCTGTGCATTATAATATGGGGCCTTATGGAGATTGACTCACTGCAGCGTCAATTGGCTGTTACAGGCAGTTTTTGTATTTCAGTGTTGGCTTCATTTGCAGCCACGAAAGTTGCTGCTTGTTGTAAACTTGAACTCTCCACTGCAAATATACTGAAAATTGACATTTTCATGTCCAGAGGGGGTCTTTAAGGGTGCTCATCGGAAATAATAAAAACATCAACAATCAACATCAATAATATGAGACAGGACATGAACCCATGATGCAGGTGCTGAAAGCAAGCACTGACTTGATTGCATACACAACTCCAGTGATGGGAATAACGGCGTTATAAATAACGGCGTTACTAACGGCGTTACTTTTTTCAGTAACGAGTAATCTAATTGATTACTCTTCCCATCTTAATAACGCCGTTACCGTTACTGCCAAAAAATGCGGCTGGTTACTATAATTGAAGCTGTTTTTTTTATCAGACCAACTAGATCTCTGAGCCGAGAGGCAAAGACTTTTTACTGTTCTTCCTTGGTTAGTGGGCAGTGCACGAGACAAGTGCATAAATGCTGACGATTGGCTGAGGTTGAGTAAAATTTCATGGTAAGCCAATCAGAGGTAGAGTTGGGCGGGTGTTCGAAAGCATGCATAGTCGGACACACAACAAACAACACAAGACAGTCAGTCAACGAGAGACAGATATGGCGAGTTGTGTTGCATCTTATTACATTTGCACTAAAAAGAGTGTATATATTGTTTGAATACATTTTCGGTACATTGCTTAAAGAGCATCATTTAATTTAGATTTATTTGTTGGCTGGCTGCAGCCTCTTGAAGTGAGATTGTCAATGGCCAGAGAAAGGTTTATTTTTATGGAGATGTATTTTTTATTTCTTATGTATTACCTGTTTATATTTGGATTCCTTAGTTTTGCTATACATTGTACTTTTCAGTTCGATTGAAAGCACCTCATATTGTTACACTGTTCTACTTTTTCGAGGAAGAAAATACTTGAAGTACAGTATATCTGCCAATTGTCAGAAGTTTTTTTTGTTTTATTTGCACTACAAAGAGTGTATATATTTGTTATTTATTTTTGGTATAGTACTTAACAAGCATCATTTAATTTTGCCCAGTTGTGGCCTGTTGAGGGGCAATAAATATCAAAAGTTCCAAAACATCTATTGTGTTATTTGTATGGACCCACTATATAAACATAATATCTACATACATGGCATTTGATTGGAGGCTAGTCTCACTTTGTCCCACAGCAACATTAAAATAGTTTAGACTTGTGTACATTGTTTCTGTTAATAATGGATTGTATTAAGTGTCAATCTCATTATAATATTCAGATTTATCATAAATAATTGAACATGCACATGTATTTTAAGTTTCGTTAAAGAGGGGTGGAGGTGGGGTCACATCTGAGCATTTAAATGTAACTTGAAAGTAACGCAATACTTACTTTCTTAAGTAACTAGTAACTTTATAATTTGTAACGGAGTAACTAATTTAGTTACTTTTTGGAAGAAGTAACTACTAACTGTAACTAAATACTTTTTGAAAGTAACTTGCCCAACACTGCACAACTCTATGAACCCCATACTGAGAGAGCACTTTTCTAAACTCTGCCCTCCGTCTTTGTGTTCTCCTCATATCAGATCCAGATGGTCTCGTGCTGGGAAGAGGAGGTGACCTAAAGTTTGACTGGAAAAGAAAAAGGAGGTAACTGCGAAGAAAGAAGAAAGTGAGGGGATGTTGTTGCTGCTGCATGTAATGGAGAATGGGAGTATTTATGGGAGACTCATGTAATGTATATTGTAGCGGACATGAAAAATATAAGTGATCCTGGATTAAAAAGACGAGGCTACTATATGTCTAAATGATCTGCACTGTGATGTAGGTTAACTGCATATACGTTCTCTGTTGATACTATTTACAGTAGTGTATGTTTCCATTAGAAAGCTGCAAATCTGTAACAATCCAACTGATGTGAACATACACATTCTATAACTTTACATTTTGTATAATGTTGTAAAAGGACAAATGGCAGACTGCTTTGTACAGTGTGTTATATAACTGGAGCGCATGCAGTGATAATGCACGAACCCTGCAGGGAATCAGTGTATCATATATCATGTTAATATATGAGCTGAAGATAACATGTCAGATAGTCTCTTCCATCAAACATTTACTTTTTTAATTTTCAGCCCATAAACTGATGATAGGTGGTTGGGATATAACTGGAATATATGCTGTGTAAGTAGTATGTTTAATAACACGCAGAGCTTGTTTGACACGTTAAGCGCCGTGATTTATCTTCACTGCCAGCCTTGAATCACTGAAATTCTCTTGTCTAGTTCCATACAAAATACAGGAGTCATAAGTTATAGCAACAGAAAGAAAAAAAAGCTGAGGGCAAGTAATAATATGTTGACGATTTCACATAAAAGATGGAAAAACTTCAAATGAAGTGCTCATCAGATCTAATAATGTCTGAAACCCTCTTTTCAAGGCCAGAATCAAAGCTGGTTGCATCTGACAGGTTTTCTTTAAACTTTCTGAAGCCAATAATCCAACAACAATGCCCACTTTAATTGGGGGGTTGGCCAGGCCATGTATAAAGAGAACTGGATAAAGGGCCTGAATTGGACTCAAAAATGTGCCAGTACCCTAATTCAGCACAACCCTAACCCTAAACACAACATTTGATCCTTTTTAACAAGTACATTTTCAGTGCTGTTTTCTTAGCATTAAGCTAGCTACACGGAGACAAGTAATGCACTTGTTCAGGAGTATCTCACCAGCGCTGCTGTATACAGGGTTTTAAGGGGTTTTGGGGCATCAAAGCATCAAAGTAAAGTTATTTTGCTAGAGGTGGGAGAACTCAATAAACAGTAAATTAATTCCTATGAAAGCTGCTTAGTGGCAACAGGATTGTTTTTGCAGTCCTTGTTTTACCCTAATCAGCCAATGTTCTGTACATTGTACTGTACATTGGCTCCACAGACATTAACTGCAGACAGCTAGCAATGTACACGCTGATTATTCATTTTCCTACAGACTGCTCTGCTTTTCCTTTGGTCTCTGGACGTTCATAAATTGACATCAGAAACATTAAGGATGAATGCAAAGTTCATGTGATTCCACCTTTGCTTTCAGTTTGTGCTGCAGAATTTGCAACAATAGGCCTCCACGTATGTCTCCATTACCTTAATATGCAGTCGAGCTGCCTCAAAAATGTCCCTTAGGTTCAGTCTGAACCATTGACAGTATATACTATAATGGACAGAGCTTCCGGGTCTGTGAAGTAAAGCCATTGCATTCTATGGAATGGCCAGCAACCATTGGCAGCATTAAAACATTGGCTTGCAGTGTTATTGAGAAATTATCCAACTTTTCACTTGATTTATTAGTTCAGTAGTTTATAGTTTCTTTATGAGTTTATAGTCTCAATCTCTAGTTTCAGTCTTGATGTTCCATTAGAAAATTATGGTCCTATTTAGAGTAAACTAGACAACAAAGCAGGGTATGGTGTGGCTACCTTGTGATTGACAGGTCATTCTCAGTGAGTCCGTCCAGCTCAAAGCACCAAACTTAGATCAAACTGTCAAACTAGGCACTACGAATCAGTACAGCTCAACTCGCAGGACGTCACCTCCGTTGGCTCAGAGAAACCGTTATAGTGACCAATATAATGCCAAACGCTTTAGAACTGTACCAATGGGTGACGTCACGATAGATTCACACATGGTCTGAACACACCTTTAAAGTCAACCCAGTTTGTATCTCTGTCGGAGATGAAGAAGGTATTTTGATTGGCTAGATTTATGTGCATTTCATGGTGAACAGAGAGGCAAAGACACAAAACTTTAAAGTTGCAATTAACAACACATGAAATGCTGTGTACATAGTCATGATTCTCAGCAACAACTTTTATTGTAGAAAAACACACTCCTGGCAGACTGCATCATCTCTGACTCTGAACCTGACTGGGAAACCATGATAGCAGTGAACGCTTAACACAATGGATGGAGACCAAAAGATAATAATAAAAATAACTTTACTGACCTTTAATTTATCAGAGAAAAAATCGTTTGATGGAAGACACACAAGGCCACACTGCAAAAAAGTTTAACAGTATAACAGAGCATTCCAATTCCACCATCTTAGGTGGTGCTGCCTTAGCAATATTGTTTGGGTATTCTGACACGAAGGATACTTTATATACCACTATTATATTGTATTCCAACAAGGTAAAAACACTGCTGGTGTGTCAGATCAGTCACTAAAAGAAGGGATGTATGTTGAATTATGTAAAACAAGAATCGTTTTTGTGTAAATAATAGCTTATCTGTTTATCTGTAGGATGTCAACATCTGTTGTATGTTGCTGTATGCATATTGCATCAATATTTTTCAAAATAAAGTTAAATGAAAATAAGATATTTATATGATAGAATTGTGTTTACAGCACAGATTTTGCTCCCATGGCACATACAGTACAGTGAGGTTAAACTGAATAGGAAATTATTATATGTATAACATTTGCATATTCATAGATTCTGTAATTTCTAATGTGGTAGAAGGAGTAGATGACTAAGACAGACATTATATATAATTCAATTCAATTCAATTTTATTTGTATAGCGCCAATTCATAACAGAAGTTATCTCAGGACACTTTTCAAATAGAGCAGGTCTAGATCGAACTCTTTAACATTAATTACAGAGACCCAACAGTACCACCATGAGCAAGCACTTGGCGACAAGGGCAAGGAAAAACTGCCTGTTAAAAGGCAGAAACCTAGGACAGATCCTCCGGCTCTAGGTGGGTGGTCGTCTGTCTCGACCAGTTGGGGTGAGAGAGAGAGAGAGAGAGAGAGAGAGAGAGAGAGAGAGAGAGAGAGAGAGAGAGAGCGACAGACAGACAGACAGGTGCACAGCAACAACAGTATTGGCAATGGCAGTCAAGCAGGACCATGGCAGGAGGCTCCACCAGGATCCATGAGAACCTGCGAGACGAGATATACATACATACATACATTGTTCGAAGCACACAATTTGTATACATGTCTTAATACATGTCTGGAGTTTCCAGTGACCGTACAATAATAATAATAATAATAATAATAATAATAATAATAATAATAATGTTAATAACATTCTCTAGGGTTTTCACCACACTGCCAAGATTAGAAAAAATACAGAATACCGACAGAATTAACTCAGCACAAAAAGTTCCCTAAATAGGAAATAATCACTTGTTTTACATAAACTTATTGTAGTTACTGAGTTCACTATTTAGGTTCATTGTACAGTTTTAAATATATTGTGAAATCCACATAAAAGGTTTAGGGGCCCCTTTCTTCAGTGGGAGGATAAATTAGTTTTTGTGGTACAATACAAAATACAATAGAGCAGTCAATACAGAGCAATAGTACTCATTACATTGAAAAATACATACACCTATACTTTTTCTGGTAATTCAAACATAAGTCATACAGTTTAATAAAACTAAATTTATGTTTTTGATTGTTCCAATGACTCAGTTATAACAGTTATGAGATCCTTATACAGTACATACTAAGTCTTACATTAATGCTGATACTGGCCTCAGGTGGTCACAGTAAGTAACTACAACCAAGAGCTAGAGGTTGGAGCAGTTAGTGGGCAGCCACGGTGCAGCAGCCGTGGACCAACTGAGGCCAATGCTTTGTCTGATTGCAAACGCTGACTAGCACTGATTGTGAAACACTATTGGCCCTTATTCATATTAACTGCAACCAATATGGATTTTACTGTTGGTATTTGGTTTGTAAGATCCGTTTATCAGTTTATTGTCATAAACTGATTGGATCATGATTATGACATCCACTATGTGTTTAGTGTCATAGTTAATCACTATGACCACTGGAGGAGACCTTATCTCTATCCAGAAAGAACAAAAGTATTTAATGTAGATCATATATATATATATATATATATATAGATATAGATATAGATATAGATATAATTTCAGTAATATCAATATTGTTGTGTGATTGCAACTAATTATTATATTTTACTATGATGTAAATCTTCCCTGGAGAACTTCATTCAGGGAGTAATTGTAACCTCTCCATGGAACAAGCAGTCAGTTGTTAAACTTGGTAAAGTAAAGCCTTTTCACAAGAAAAGTGGTTGACTGATAGGAAGCCATGAGCACATATTAGCTGCATTTGATAATTTTGTAGCGTCCACTGGGAAGAGGTCAAAGGTCATTGAGGAAGATCATTCACATCCGACACCAGAGACTATCTCTGAACTGAGACAGGGGCTACCATCTCCCCCCATTTAAACCCCCCCCCATCATATACAGTATCCTGTGACTGAAGTTCCTCCTCCTAGGCCAATGACAACTCAGCCAACAGCACCACCTGCTGGAAAAGACCATAAAATATGATTAAAAGCTGCGAGGAAAGCTAATAAGTGGATCTTGAGTTAAGATTATTTTGTCAAAACTTGAGTTAATTCGTAAGTAATGTATAATTACCCTAAATGCCCTCTTTTGCTCTACAAGAAAGTACAAAGTTGCAAAAACTAATAATTTCAAGGCAACTGCGTTCATTAATTGTTTGGGTCAAAACTCAAATGTAAAAGTTTTGAATATTACTAATTAATAATTCACTTTTATTTAAAAAAAAAAATTAATCTTTAAGTTTGAAAAACAACAAAAATAATTAGAATTTTTAAAATTGTTCACAAAACATTAAAATGAAAAACTGTTACTAAATTAATATTTTAACTTTAATATGTTGCCTACTGGTGCTGATTAGTTTTTTATGTGAATACAGGATATTATAGTGTAACACAGCTTTCACAACTCTGAATATAGAACAGTAATGTTCTCTGTTGTCTGCTTCCCCGATCAAACTTTACAATACCATACCGCCCTCAGTGCTGGGGGAATGACAAATATCTCCAACAAACACTCCTCTGTAGCAGAATTCCATCTTTGAACAGAATGAACATTTTTTCATTTTTGCTCTGGGAGGACAACAATGAGCAGTCTGTTTGCCAGAATCCACCTCTGGAGGAATTCAAGAACAAATGTTTGGGATGTTTTCAAATGTGTTCACCCACTGGGTTACTCCACCCACTGCAGCACATAATACTGCAAGCAGCCAGAGAGTTCATTCAGTTACACAATATGATCTGATATTACAGTAATAATCTATACAGAGAAATGCAAAGCTGTTAAACATCAAATAATGTTAAAGAGGAGAGTTCATTCTTGCTAGTGAAGAGTCATTTGACAAGGTCCACTTAGCTCTTTTTCCAAGCTCTTAACCAAATCTCATGGTGATGTTGGCTCAGTTGTTCATGTTGGGACAATGGGTACAAAGAGTCGCTGGTAAATCCTGAGTGAAAGACATCACATGTGACAGCCTACAGTGAAACAGAGACAAGCCTGGACAAGAAAGGTAATGATCATCAGAAAATTACAACATCAGTTTGTTGGAGGAGGTCAAAGGTCATCGAGCAGGAGTCAGTGGAGGGCCAGAGAAAGATCAAGGAAGACACTCACAGACCCACTGGCCAGAGGGTCTCTGTGGGTGAAATTGCATTTCGTGTGTTCCGCCTATTTTTCAGACTGTTTACCTGCACACAACCAAAGCCCGCTCAAACATGACTGGTCCATACTCGACTACAACTGGAAATGCTTCTGATGCCAAAGTCTTGGTCAATTGCCACATATTTATGTTTACAGAGATGATGGAAAAAAGCTACTAAGGGGATTTTAAATTAAGACCATTTTGTCAGAACTTAAAGTCTTAAATAAGGATTACCAAAATGCTCTCAGCTCCAATTGCCCTACAGAGAAGTGGGACTTGGAGTGTTTCACTTCCATAATGTGACAAGACTTGTGATAGACATAAAAAAAGAATGGGGGAAAATGAAGCAGCAAGAACCACATTCATAATCCTTTGATTAAAGTAAGTTTTATATATCAAACAAAACTTCAGTGAAAATATTTTAACAAATTAGATCACACAGTGTACAGATCACAAGCAGCAAGTGATGAATTGAATGGCAACCCACACCACATGTTGACTATAGTCAATATATCAGACACACATTATTTAAAGCTACACTGAATGTCCAGTCCGTCTGTTAAACTGAATTACTCAACAGTCACACTGTCCTGAGGGAAGAGGCATCTTTAAAGCAGTCATTATCATACAGTACATTAAACATGTGCATTAGGGTGGCTGGTAATTGCAGTCAACTAGACCATTGTGTCAATAGAAGTCACTCACTACTAGTACTACCTTTTTAATAATAATAACAATAAAAATAAATACTTAAAAGTTCTTACTTTTACAGAAATGTAAGAATCATGGAAGAAAGCAAGAGTCAATAGACAATACAAGTATTTTTTTGATACCTGATGTATAGAATAAAGTTACACATCCTGCTCCAACAGCCAGTGTGCTGTAGTGATCAGAACTTACTACACACCCCGAGTGACTCTGGACTTGCCTATTTTATTGGCACTTGATTCATACAACAAAATTATACTTTAATCATAAGCTGTAATATAAAGCTTTTAGTGAGCAGGAAGACATCCCTCTGTGCTTCTACCCCTCAGGTATAATCCAATGATTTAAGTGGAATTTGTCTATCAGGGATTGTTTAGCTTTCATCCAATGACCATCTTAGCTGAGGTTTATTTAAAGCGGTGTGAAGACTCTATGGCTGGCTAGGGGAGCATCCCCAAATTAATGCTATTTATAAAGGCTCAGTCTTTAAATATTATGAGATTGAAAACATTAATTTCTAATAACTATTCTCTATGTAAAGATATAGTGGAGACATGGTGTCACACTCTCTCTGCCTGTGTTGCTATCACAGCCTCTCTGTGGTTGGTTTCCACAGCCGGTCTGCTCCAGTTGCAGCTGAGGACAGCGACTGAAACTGCTGTTTTTATGCATCAAACTCTGTGAATTCTAGGATTTATTTCCACCAAACAAAGATAGTTCTGGTGAGATTTTTTTGTTTCTGTTCAGTTTGAAGTGTGTTTTATGATTATCTGCAAGGTAAAATTACTGGTTTTGTCATAGGAGTCTGGTCTTGGTTTAGTCTGAGATGCTGGTGCTCTAGTGCGACATCTAGTGTTTGTTTCACTGCATTCATTATGTCTGTTTGGGGGCCTGATGTTGTTTTGCTCTAATGAATAAGTAGCAAGTGACTACGTCCTGACAATTTTATACATTTGTGCCCATTTCTTTGTTGGTTTTTGTCATGGATTTAGGAAGATAGCTATGTAAAATGAATGAAGTCATTTTTATTGGTAAATGGACTGTACTTATATAGCGTAACCTATAATGCGCAACACACTCACCCCTCCTCTACCTCTGAGCCACAGCCGCCCCTTTAATCCTGTTAACAACGCCCCAATTGGTTGATGGTCTCTCCAACGTTTGGAAATAGTCGTCGATGAGCACAACACCAGACCGATTTGAATTATTGAACAAATGAAAGATGTGGGTGGTAATTCCAGGCTATAAAAATTGGTCCAATGCTAAAGTCTCTATCTTCTGGAGTGGATCAAATTAAAATGCATTAGGTTAAATGCAGGTGGTTTAAAAGTGGTATAGAATAGAAATGGATTACATTTGTTTTCTTCTTTTAAAAGCAAGTTACTAGAGGTAATAAACTTGAGCCATACATCATGACAGTGAACATCAAAACTGGCTGCTGAGACAAAAAGAGATTGATACAGTATTTAGCAATTTTCCACTGCATTCATTTAATCAAACAGAATGTAAGCACTGTTTATTTAGCAGGGAGAACGCACAGTACATGGACTGTACCAGATAAAAGCCAGTTTTCAACCGCAGTCCCTGGGTGGAGGCTTTTGTTTCCACTGTTTTGGGACCTGGAGCTAAATGTGGGCAGTGCTCAGGATGTGATAATACTGTAAATGAGAGTTCCAGGTACTTTCAGGGCTCTCATTAGTGTTTGGGTCATTCAGAGGGAGCTGTAGTCAGAGGTTTGTAACCAAAAGGTGAACCAGATGATTTCTCAGTAATAAAACACACAGCTGAACCAGTGTGGAAGCAACTGCCTTAGTAGCCACACACTTCAAAATATGATGCTTAATGTATCCATCTCATATCATTTCTGGTCGTGCAGGGCTCCGTGGGGAAGTCAGCAATTAGAAACATGCAACATTCAGTTTGTATTATGTGAAAGACTTGCAGTTAAGTTCCACCATGAATAAGGTTAAAGACAATTAAAATAGCCTGAACAGGAGAAATGGGTATGGATAAAATGTAACTTACCTACCTACGTACCTTAAGTAACTTACATACATTACTTAAAATACACTCTTTACTTTTCACACAAGACATGAACAGCGGTCCTCGGGTTAAACTGTGTTTGGTTGCCCATCACCTCCATATGAGGACTGTCTCGCTCTTTATACTACCTCACGTGTCCCTGACGGTGGGTGCGTCCAGAAATGAAGCCAGAGGGATATCTACAGCATCATATTTTGAAGCAGAGGGCCAATGACCCAGCTGCAGTATGTGATGACTAGGGAGTGAGAGCAGGTTGGTAGAGCTGTCCAGGAAAATAAATAAGGATTAAATACGGAAGAAAAATAAAAGATCACAATGCGTAAAACTAAACAGTACAATGCAGTTCAGTGTGTTGTTGGAGGCCCAAGCAGTGGCCCGCAGTTGGCATATAAACCTCAGATTGGTGGTTTCACACACCTCCCAAACAGCACATAGCAATGAAATATTTGGTCCCACTGTAGTCTTTTCATGGCATATATCTGAATTACATTGGTTTGTAAAATACTGTGAAAACAAAAGGAAGTACTTCCTTGTTTTGCTTGTGGGAAGAGGCTGCAAGTTAAGATTTATCTGCCACACAGTCACCCATGTTGCTCAGGGCTGAACTGATGGAATGTGCTACTACCACACTCGGTGGAATACAAGAATTTTAGTGTATTTGACATGCAGCCGCAAACACAGTCTCTCTTTAATACCCAAAAGGGGACCATGCTACAAAAAGCTTTTGACAGTGTATCTCTGCCTCATATGTATGAATGTAATGGAGTTTTTACAGTAAAAAAAAAAAAGTCTGTAAATCTGGCAGGATGAGCGCAGCAGTTACTTGTTCCCTCTCCATTCGAGTAAACTGCTGTGAGAGTGGAAAGCTTTAGGAGTTAGCTTGCTGAAGCTACTGCATCTTCACGAGGCAGATCAACTGCTGTTGCTTAGATTCTTTACAATCAGAGTCCTCAAAAGTCTTTATCCCAGCCAGACAGCTCATCGGGAGGCTCCTCGGTGTCAGGAGGAAACATGTCAAAGTGACTGTGATCCATTGGCCCCTTCAGCTGCAGGAACAAGGAAAATCATCGTCATCATCATTACATTTTGTCGGCACAGGATCATTCACAACTTCGTCACTGGCAGATTTCCTGTCCTTAAATAAATGTAGCCACTTCAATTAGCGTAATGACAGATATGTTCAGATATATGTAATATATCATCGTGAGTCAGTGCACTTTGTACCGTATGTGAACACTCATCCTCATGAGTTCCAAATATTTGGAGGTCCAATGTGCATTTTCACTTTCATTCCATATGCTTCGACCTTTCTTCATTATCATTTTTTATATTAAAGTTTTTCATTTAATTGTGTTGCAAATAATTTCCTGATCACGCCAGTACTCTCCAAAGTGGAGATTAAAAACACTCACATTCTGAGTTCTGCATGTATGATGGTATGTAGGACCACCCAGAAGTTAGCATTGCCCTGGTTCCTTCGACAAAAAGCCATTGGGATTGTTCCATTGGATTTACATTTTTTGTTCAGCAAGATAATCTTCACAATGAACACCACTTTTATGGTTTTTGTAGCATAAATGTGATCGCCAGAAGGAAAAAGCCAACGTTAGACTATAAATGAACTACACCGCAGTCAAATAAATCACCGGTGAGATTTAGCCACTAAGTAGTAACTCTTTTAAGACAGAAGTTTCAAAATTAGGTCGTAGAACAAAATGTGAAAATCTCTTAAGCCTGTGTTAACCACAGACCATATTGCAGACATCTAACCAAAAACACATTTAAAAAAAAAAAAAAAACCATTGAGTTTGGCATCATTTCCTGGTTGTAGGACTCATTGCTGCAGTACTCTATTAAACTGAAATGTTTTTACAGATGTGTTGTGTGACTGTGCTTGTTCACTATTAGGAAACAGAGATCAGTCTCACCTCTCTCCTCAGTGGAGAAAGCAGCTTGTGATGCCTTAAACCTTCCCAGTTGAAGCCTTGGAACCACCTACAAAGCAAGCAAATCTCACAGTTGGATTCCCATTGTTATCTGTAAAAAGTAACCTTCAACCACATCACTGTTGGGTTTCAGAACAGTTTTATTATTGCAAATAGAAATCACATAGAGCCTCTGCTAGTTTGAACAAATCTTAGTAATTAGCCAGTTGATCAGTTGTATGCCTTTGTTTTCATATTGTCTTTTTTAGTCATTCATTGACGTGGCAAAAGTGTGGTATTTTCATGGCAAGGTGGGGCATGTTCAAATGTTACCACTGTACAAATCCATCAGAAGAAAACTGTAGCATTTTACAACTTTGCAGAACACAGATTTCAGGTGAACAATTTGTAGGATGTTCCTAACACTTCATATTAATTTACTGGTGTTGGGGAATATTTCTGTGTTCCTGTCACATCCCATTCTCATCACATCCTGAACATTTTCTTCTTATCTGACCTTGACTCATATCAGCACAAGCTGTTCCCCGCTCATCCCTGTCTTGTTAAGACTAGCTCATTGCATTATGTTTCTGTTTGATGGACTTTGCCATCGCTGTGTGAATGTGTGTGAAAGGGTGAATGTGGCACGTAGTGTAAAAAGAGATTTGAGTGGTCGGAAGACTAGAAAGGCGCTATACAAGTACAGGTCCATTTACCATTACCAAGCTTTAGAGCTCAATTCTGATTTATTACTCAGATCTTTGTTTGTCTGTTTAAGTTATTTTTAAAATGTAGCCCATATCAGATTCTGGTGTGAACAGGTCACAGTTACCTGAATGACAAAAGTTACACCGAGTTTGCATTGCAAAAAATCAGACCTGTATCTGATTTGGTCCACAGATAAAAGTGGTATGGAAAAGACCTGATTCCATGTTTAATGAAAAAATCAGATCAGATGAGCAAAATTAGGATCAAAACTTTTAATGTCACAAATGTCAAGCAGGAACCCAAATGTAGACTCGGAGGAAGAACAGTTGCAGTGGGATGAATTAATGAAAGAGTACCAATACACAAAAATGCCTAGGGTATGGTCAGGCAGGCACAGGTCAAAACCAGGGGCCTCATTTATAAAAATGTTCTTAGGTTTATACTTGAACTTAGTCTTAAAATAATTTCCGATTGCTTACGTTTGATTCATAAAAAGATACTCAGCATTAAAAACCTTGTTTATGCAGGTCCTATGAAGCCCATTTGTAACTTACAACTCTGATCTATAAATCTCAAAGTAAGCAACAGCTCCAACTGCAAAACGCCGACATAACCAGCAAGAACATAATTTACGTCAAGTCTAGACATTGATGAGCATTTTTGTTAAAGTAATATATCAGAAAATGCTGAAACTAATACTTACCAATCATTATCAATCTTTTTATAAATGAGATTAGCTAGATATGTATTGTTCATCTCTCTTTTATAAACATGCAGTCACAAGACTGTCTAAGTCTAGGCTATTTCCATAAAATGGCCTAGAAAGTGTTCCTCCTACCATCAAATGTTTTGTCACTTTTTTTGTTTTGTCACTTTGTCACAATACACAACAATATATTCTATAATTGTATGTAATATTTTGTACTAATTTACACATAATCTAAAAATGTCCAAAAGAAATGAAGACTGATCATTTGGAAAGTAAACTTACTTGTGTTTCTTGATGTCAATGATGCCGTTCTTTTTATTTCCCAACCTCTCTACTGGGTTTAGCCTGAGATGAAAAGAAAGAGATGGTTAATTGGTTTAATAACCCTGTGGATGTTCTGTTCAAAAAGAAATGGTTAAGGAAATTTAACAAGGACACTCACTTGATTGAATTACAACACATGGCTTAATAAACCCAGCAGCATCATTGTCCAAACACAATGAGCTGCTGCCACATTTGTGACAAATGTGTGATGAATGTGGATGGGATCCACGTCACTGTGGCAGTTTTTCTTTGCTCTGGTGTAACAAGACTACAACAATCAACCGGTCATCATTCTAAGTGACAGTGCCTGGTCTACTCCACACCACAAAAATCACATAGTGATTCACTGATTATTTGTTTAAATGAAAAGTGACTGAGCAGTATTATCCTCTCATCTGATCGTGGTCCATGATTCACCGTACTTGCAGAGTCTCCTGATGAGGTCATCCGGACGCTTGCCTATCTTCTTGGGGAAGTCCACCTTCTCAATGCCATGGAGGACCATGGTGTAAATCTTTATGGGATCTGAGCCAGCAAAGGGTGGGCTGCAAGAAAAACAGGTTCTCAGATTCTTCATATAGTTTACAGAGTATTACACCATTTCAACTGTTCTGATCTGTCTGTAGATTTTTACCAGATTATCTATAGTATATGTGACAATTCATGTTTCAGATTGTTGTGCATAAACCTAACCGAACCTTAACCACATTGGTCTAATATCAGAAAACGTCTGCCAAATCTTAACTAATTAGCTGCTGAAATGATACAAATACTCAAATAATAAACCAAGAATCCAGACTACACTGTTCAAAGGATGAGTTCACCATTTTGGGAAATATGTTTATTTGTTTTCTGTCTGCAAAAAGGATTTGAAGATCAATACCTACATGCTTTCTCTGGGTGAGATTATCTGCCGTCATTGATTTAGTTTATCTGCTATGCTGATGACACTCAATTGTACCTTCACGTCAAACCTTCTACTTAACTCTCGGTGTCATCAAACATGCACAAACTTCATAACAAAACAAAACACATGGTTGTGGCATCCAAGACTCTCCAGATGAGTTTGCTTTAAGGTTTTCTTCTCTAAGAAGTGAAAACAGTACACGGTTCTATTTTACTGACTTACTTGCCAGTGAGAAGTTCAAATATGAGGATTCCCAAGGACCAGCAATCAGCTCCAAAGTCATGGCCTTTGTTCATGATGACCTCTGGGGCCACATACTCGGGAGTCCCACAGAATGTCCAGGTCTTCTTTCCGAGGCCGATCTTTTTGGCAAAGCCAAAGTCTGCCTAAGGAAATATGCAGGAATTCGGAATATATAATAACTTATGCAGATACAGAATGATTAGTGTTCAATAACACAGGAACATCAGGAGGAAGACTCTGTGTGCCAAAGTGCAAATCAAACAGACTGAAGTTATCGTTCGTCCCGACTTGTATCAAGCTGCTGAACTTTAATACTTAATCATAGGGCAATGTATAATAAACAAACCAGCACCGTAGCACTTTAATTCTTAGTTTCTTACAGTCTCCTTTTAAGCTGCTATATTGTCAGTGTTAAAATGTATAGTGTAAGGCTGCTCAATTAATCGAAATTTTATCATGATTACGATTTTGGGGCCAAACGATCTCAAAACTAATAAAATCGGGGGGAAACGATTTTTGTTTAATTTTCTGTTGTGCAACGTTGTATACAGTCTGCGTATTTCGCGCATGCATATTTCCATCCCTCCCCCACAGCATGCACTGCACGAGTCATGCGCTCGGTATACTCACCGTTCCCGACCTGTCGCGCCACAATGTGAAGTCATGGGAACGCCGTAACTATTTATACTTGCGCTGGTGGTCGCGACACTAGTTGCAGTCTTCTCCTGTCACGTTGTTTTCGCTTGAACAGGTAACACGGAGACTTACAAATGTTTATGGGGAAAGGAAAGTGTAACTGAGGACTTCCTTGCAAAGTGTTTTTGACAAATGTCCAATAAATGCAGCATGTTTCTGAAGTTTAAAAAAATAATCGTTTTAATTATCATGATTTCAATTTTGACCCAAATAATTGTGATTATGATTTTTTCCATAATCGAACAGCCCTAGTATAGTGTCTTTCATGTTTTAAGATGTTTCATGTTGATTTTGGGATGGGTTTCGGATGTGTGTCTGTTGTTAATGTATTTTTGTTTCTGTGAAGCAACAAATTGTAGCACTGTGCCCAAGACAAATTTCCTCTCGGGGACAATAAAATTTATTCTATTCCATTCTAATAAGGATTGACCGGGGCAAGTTAAATGTTATATCGGGCTGGTAAATCTAGCAACTCCCTTGCCTGAACGGCCATGTGGTGTTTTGTTTTTTTCCAGAGCTGATAAGTAGCTAAGGAGTGAGCCATCTTGCTTCTGGTGATAGTTGCATATGCACAGTATTGATTGGGCACTTATGAGAAAATGGTGGCGCATAAGGACAAGGTTTAGTACAAGCAAGCATTTCACTATCCTGAAAACATGAGTTTACTTTGGTGGCATTAGAGGCTGTGAGAGAACCTCCAACTATGTATTTCGCTGTTTGCTGCAAATTTGATAGGAAGGCGGATAAAACGGTCATTTTTTAAAAATGTTTTTCTGAAAGAGTGCCATAACAGCTGACAGCATCTTGCTTGCATGGTGGCTAAAATAAAAATTGACTTCAGTAGAATTTAGATGCGCTTGACTGACCAAGCAAGTGAAAAACAACTTTAACATTGAACCCCGAAAACTCTTTAAAGGACATCACTAACAGAAATTTAGACAAGCGGCTTACCATTTTCACATAGCCCTCAGCATCCAGTAAAAGGTTTTCAGGTTTCAAGTCTCTGTAGATGATGCCCATTGTGTGGAGGTAGTCAAAGGCCTCTAAGACACAACCAGTACAGAACCTGGCTGTGGGATCATCAAAATAACTCCTGGTACGAAAAGACCAACAAATGAATGGCATCACACCCAGAACAGACTATTGGTCAGATTTAGGAAAGTTGTGACCTTGGTTGATTTTTTGAATGATTATAATTATTATTATTGTTATTGGAAAATTGCCTTTATCAGACATCAATAGCAAAGAGCAGGAAACAAGGTCCCCTGACAGATTCAAGGTTATAGGCCTACAGGTATTTGTTTGGAGTCTCTGAGGCAGGAGGAAAAAGCACATGGTTACTTTGTAGAGTTTTTATATTTTTACAGTAATTTTCAAATGATCTGATGGTTTGAAGAACAATTAAACAACTAGAGAGGGCAGTGAAAAGCTGCTTTTCAGCCTGTTCTTCAGTTACTCTTTAAATATCAATGTTTCCATTTGTAGTTATAAATGTAGCAAAAGGACCTACACTCACATGTCCCGCAGCACAGTCCACAGCTCTCCACCAAGACACACCTCTAGCAGCATGTAGACAAACTTATCATCCCGAAATGTTCGGTATAACCTGAAATATATGCACACATAGTGAAGAGAGTCTGTATTAACTACTGTGTTGCATTGAAAACAGAAATAAACCCACTGGTATAGTAAAAATAACAAAAGCAGGGGTTTCCCAGAATAACTATGTCTATGGCTATGTCAAAACTATGCATCTACAGCAGATATATAACTTGAAGTGCTGTAATCATAAGGCATCATAATGGGCTGTTCAGAGCTTTTGAGGTGGCCTAACGACCCAAGTTGGACGTAACTTTGGCTGTTGTTAAACATAGATTTGCATGCAGTCAAACTGTATCTCCAGCTCGGACAGGCTTGATGGTGGTTTAGTCGAGTTAGATTGCAGCTCATTTCTGATATAGCCACCAAGTTTAATTGACAAGTCAAATACTTTTTGGGAGTAGCTGATGACTAATGCATGCTTTATATACCCTAAACAAAACATAAATTAAAAACTGAACTTTAAGTACATCCCCTAAATATAAATAATGATAGTGCCTGGTAGTATGGTGCACGTTGGGGGTGCAAGTCTAAAAGAAACGGCACCCACAACATGCCAGTGATACCCTCCTATTGGCCTGTAATGGACTACCAAAAATGTGAAGCATTGCAGGTTACAACTGCTATTGCTGCAGTTCTTTAAAAGACATTTGATACAGGCAACCTCTCTTTGCCACTCATGAATCAGAATTCTTAGATTTAATTGAACACTAAGACCCCATAAAAACTTCTGATAAACTAATGAAGAAACTGATGGTAGGAGGATTGTGAAATAAATGGGTGAGTGAACATTTTGGCTGAACTTTTCTCTTGTATCTCTGAATGGCTGCTTGCACAAGGCCTTTTTTTTTTTTTTAAAGTCCTAGTCCAGATAAATCTCAGTGCAGTGGTCACCAGCATTCTCGGACCAGGTTCCTTAGCAACTCCACTGACAAACCAACAAACTGACCAGCCCCCATTTTATCTTCTTCAGAGGGAACAAAGGGGTTTGTGGCAGAATGTTCTCTTTGCTATCTTACTGATTCTGTAACCTCTTTTATTCAACATCTAAATACTTCCACTAGCTCAGATTACAAAAAACAATGGAATATCTGAACATTGTCTTATAATAATGTGGTTGCTTTAGAAATAACACCCTGCTCTTTGTGAAACCTGAATGTGTAATGTTGTGTGTGGCCCACACCTGATGATAAAAGCTGAGTTTGTTTGCTGAAGGATGTTTTTCTCAGAGTAGATGTGCTCCTGCTGTCTGGTGTCCACAATATGCTTCTTCTTAATGCACTTCAGAGCAAACGTTATGTCCTCATCCTTCAGCTTTACCTGAAGAACAACAGAGAGGAGCGAAGAGGTAATGTATATCACAGCTAAACATTACAAAAAACACCAACAGCTGAGCACTGACTGAATCTGTGTATCCTGCAAATTTAAGACAAACCAAATGTTTACTCTCTAGGGGAATCTCAAGCTCCTCTCATCATTTTCTACAGTGGCTTAAAAGCTAGATGTCGTTTGAATGTTTGTCCTTGTGTTCCATGACAAAGATTTGATTTTAAAAAGGGGCACTATAACTATCTTATCAGTCAATTTACTTGTTATGAGGAGCACTACACAGCCTGTGAAAACAGTTTTTAAATTGTCTGCGAGGATGGCAAGAAAGCATCAATCATGAGCCCCAGCCTGTCTGACTCATAGTAAAGCTTGGCCTTGCAGTCAGAAATCACTTTGTTATTAGGGATGGGATGATATGCAAGATTATTGTGCATCATGATAAAAAACACTTGTATCGTGGTGAATTCCCATTATCGTGATAATCTGGAATTATTGGAGCACATTAGAGAAGCTCTGCTCCTGTGGCGACCAGCAGCAGGTGTGTTTGTGTGCATTTTCGTTGTCTTAAATTGTTTACTTTGCCTTGTTTTTTGTGTGCACGCTACCATCTATGACTGTTTAGGAAAGGTTTCATCATGGAAATAAGTTTCGTATTTTTTCTATGGTTTTTATGGCTCTATTATGCCAAGAGCGTCCAACCTCAACCACGCCACCCAGCAAGTCAATACTCTCGGAGTTCTTGCCATGCTACGGGACAACCCGAACTGTGTTGACATGTATATGGATCCTTTTTCATTAAAAGATTTAAACACTGAGATCTCTAGGCACAAGTCAGGATTGGAATAGAAAGTACATCGCTAAGGCGAGGAAACAAGGGAGAAGAGGAGGAGTCCGTGTCACACTAAAAAAAACAGAAGTTGCGGTGCATTTCACTTCCCTCTGTAATTCAGATGTGACTCACATTTTCAGTCACTCAGAAACAAGACTGACGAGCTGCTGGCAAACAGTAGTTCCACAAATACAGAGATTCGGATGCATCATGGCTTTTAGTGAGACATGGCTCATGTCTTCAATAAATATCATGTCATCGATAAAAACTAATAAATTCTGATGCAGTCTGTAAGAAGCAAAGCGTGTACTTAATGTGGAAAATTATGTCCCTGTTCTGTTCTTACTTTTTCTGTGATTGCTTGGTACAGTAACCTGAACATAAAGGATAAAAACCACCTGAACCACATTGTTAAGGTTGCTGGGAAGGTGATAGGTGTCCATCAGACCTCCCTGATGGCTATCTTTGACCATCAGAATCTCCACAAGGCCAGGTCCATACTGGACTGTACAAACCACCCCCTTCACCTTGAGTTTGAAATTCTTCCCTCAGGTCGTAGACTTAGAGTACTAATGTTGTGCAATATGAGTAAAAACTCCTTTATTCCTTCTGCAATATCCCTGCTTAATTTGCAAATGTAATTTTAAATGTTCTTAACATTTAATTTGCACCTGAAATTTTAAAATCCTATTTTTGCATGAAACATGTCTTTTTTTTTTTTTTTGACCCTGACTGCTAATCAAGTTTTCCATTTGGGATAGAAAAGGTAACTGAACAGAACAAAAACAGGTAGGAAAGTCCTATCAATAATTGGTAATGGTAAATGGACCTGTACTTGTATAGCGCCTTTCTAGTCTTCCGACCACTCAAAGCGCTTTTACACTACATGCCACATTCACCCTTTCACACACATTCACTACTCAGTGATGGTAAAGCCCATCCAACAGAAACTTACTCATTCACACACTGATGCATGGCATCGGGAGCAATTTGGGGTTCAGTATCTTGCTCAAGGATACTTCGACACCAGCACCAAGAGCCGGGGATCAAACCAACAGCCTTCTAATTAGGGGACGACCCGCTCTGCCTCTGCACCACAGCCGCCCCACCAATAGTGAGAGGCATCCGTGGCTCCTGGCAACCCGACTGCTTTTGTTCTGTACCAGAGGGTTTAATTTACTTGAAAAGGGGTTTACTAGGGGTGGGCGATATGGGCAAAAAATAATCTCGTTATTTTTTAGGATTTTGGCGATAACGATAATCAGTCGATATCCTTTAAAATGTGATTGGAATTGTCTGAGTTAGGGCTTGTGTCCACCAAACGTGGTTTTAGCACTGAGAGCGCTCAAAAACTCATTTTCCGAGCGCCCAGCGGTGTTAAAAGTTGAACAGATTCCAACTTGAAGCGATCTGAGCGCTGTGCTGAAAAAGTATTTTTGAAACTAAACCATTTCGATGCCAGAGAGGTAGACCCACATCTCGGCACTAAATCATCTGAAGTACCGGTAGCTTCAGGGACTGGAGGTGTTTGCATTTTCTCTCTATCATCACAACGCGCTGCTAAACTGTTGCAAGGAGGATGCAAGCGAGAGGTCATGTGATCACGTCATGTGATCACGTAGGCCCACTAATTGTGTGACTGAATCCTGCCATGCTCTAGAGAGCGTTGCTGCACCGTGTATTAAGTGGATGTGAGGAGTTTCCACGTGCGTTTCAATATTTTTGACGAAGTAATTTAAATACTCGATAATGGAAATTTGCACATTGTCAAAACAACAATGACGATATTATCGCAAATGATATATATCGCCCACCTCTAGATCTTACACAGTAGGTATGATGGGTTACAGGTCACTTTTCACTGATCAGTTGTTGGCCAGACAAACATATGAGCAGTAAATGAAATCCAGCCTAAAGCCAGTGAAAAGGGGAACTGAGTAATGAAAGGTGATTGTGTGATTGAGTGTGTTACTGCAGCTCACCAGCTCCACTCTTCCAAATCCTCCCATGCCCAGTGTAGCTATGACCTCGAGCTCCTGGAAAGGTTGGTTGGGAGGCAGGAGAGCAATCCTCTCCCTCAGCCTCCTTAGCTCATGGGCCTCTGCAGAGTCAATCTGAGGTGAGTGGGGCCTGAGAGAGGGGTAACATGGGACATATGATTGGGCCCTTTGATCACCTTTGGGTCCTTGCTTTTTGGCCAAGAGTGACTCAATTTCAAACTAAACTTCAGATAAGCTTATCACCACTAAAACTGGAAATGGAGAAATGACATTATCCCTTGATGGCATAATCCATTTACCGAGAGGCTTAATAAACATGTACAGTTGTGCTCATAAGTTTACATACCCTGGCAGAATTTAAGATTTCTTGGCAATTTTTCAGAGAATATGAATGATAACAGAAAAACTTTTCTTTAATTCATGAATGGACCAGGAAGCAGAGCTGCTGTCTTACACACTCCTCTGCGCTTTCTTTAGAACAGTCACCCACCCAAAACCCCATAGAGACTGTGTCTGTCCCCCGACCACCTAAATTATTTAAAGAAATAAAAACAAGAGGAGTTCAACATAAAAATCTAATAAAAATTAAAACCAACTCCTCAGTAGCACAAAATAAGAGAATGAAATGTGGGCTGTTAAATATCAGGTCTCTGTCCTCTAAAGCTGTTCTAGTGAATGAATTAATATCAGATTATGATATTGATTTACTTTGTCTTACTGAGACCTGGTTGTCCCACGATGAGTATGTTAGCCTAAATGAATCCACACCCCCCAGTCATATTAATACTCACATTCCTCGAGGCACAGGCCGAGGAGGTGGAGTAGCAGCTATATATGATTCGAGCGTTTTAATGGACCCTAAACCTAAACTAAATTATAATTCATTTGAAAGCCTTGTTCTTAGTCTTTCTCACCCAAACTGGAAAACACTGCAGCCAGTTCTATTTGTTATAGTGTACCGCGCTCCTGGACCGTACTCTGATTTTATATCTGAATTTTCAGAGTTTCTATCAAGCTTAGTCCTTAAATCAGATAAAGTAATTATTGTAGGTGATTTTAATATTCATGTGGATGTTGACAATGACAGCCTTAGTAATGCATTTATATCATTAATAGACTCAATTGGCTTCTGTCAGAGTGTAAATAAACCAACTCATTGTTTTAATCACACTCTTGACCTTGTTTTATCATATGGCATTGATATTGAACATTTAATAGTCTTCCCACATAATCCTTTCCTATCTGACCATTATTTAGTAACTTTTGAATTCATACTATTAGATTATAAGCCATTAGGCAAAACTTCCTACAGCAGATGTCTATCTGACAGTGCTGTAGCTAAATTTAAGGAGGAGATTCCTTCAGTGTTCAATTCAATGCCATGTCTGAATTTAACAGAGTCCTATAACAACTTTAGTCCCTCTGAAATTGATAATCTTGTCGATAGTGCTACAGGCTCACTACGATCAACATTAGACTCTATCGCTCCTATAAAAAGGAAATTATTAAAACATAGGAGACTAGCACCTTGGTATAACCACCAAACCCGCCAGTTAAAGCAAATAGCTAGGAAATCTGAAAGGAAATGGCGCTCTTCCAAATTATCAGAATATCGCTCAAATTGGCAAGATGATCTTAAGATTTATAGAAAGGCCCTCCGTAATGCCAGAGGAGCCTATTACTCAGCACTAATAGAAGAAAATAAGAACAACCCTAGGTTCCTCTTCAGCACTGTAGCCAGGCTGACAGAGAGTCACAGCTCTATCGAGCCACATATCCCCATAAACTTAAGTAGCAATGACTTCATGAGCTTCTTCTATAATAAAATTATTACTATTAGAGAAAAAATTAATCACCAACTGCCATCAACAGTTATCAGTGGCTCTCCAAGTTCAGGGACTTCTGTCAATGTAAACTTAGATGTATATTTAGACTGTTTTTCTGCTATCGATCTTCATCAGTTAACTTCAATAATTTCTTCATCGAAGCCATCAACCTGTCTGTTAGACCCGATCCCAACTAGGCTGCTTAAAGAAGTTGTTCCCTTAATTGGCACTTCTTTACTGGATATGATTAATCTTTCTTTATTATCAGGATATGTACCACAGTCCTTTAAAGTAGCTGTAATTAAACCCCTTCTTAAAAAGTCTACTCTTGACCCAGGGGTTTTAGCCAACTATAGACCGATTTCTAACCTCCCCTTCCTCTCTAAGATTCTGGAGAAAGTAGTCGCCAAAGAGTTGTGTGACTTTCTACATAACAATAGTTTATTTGAGGATTTTCAGTCAGGATTTAGAGTTCATCATAGCACAGAGACAGCTCTGGTTAAAGTTAATAATGACCTTCTGACTGCTTCTGACAATGGACTTGTCTCTGTACTTGTATTATTAGATCTTAGTGCTGCATTTGACACCATTGACCATGATATTCTTTTACAGAGACTTGAGCATCAAATTGGCATTAAAGGAACTGCCCTAACCTGGTTTAAGTCATACTTATCAGATCGTACTCAGTTTGTACATGTTAACGATGAATCCTCCATAAATACTAAAGTTAGTCATGGAGTTCCACAAGGTTCTGTACTTGGACCAATACTATTTACTTTATATATGCTCCCTTTAGGCAACATTATTAGGAATCACTCCATTAACTTTCACTGTTATGCAGATGATACGCAGTTATATCTATCAATCAAACCCAATGAAATTAATTAATTATCTAAATTACAAACATGTCTTAAGGACATAAAATCCTGGATGACCTGCAATTTTCTGATGTTAAACTCAGAAAAAACCGAAATTCTTGTTCTTGGCCCCAAAAACCTTAGAGACTCATTGTCTAAAGATATAGTCACTCTAGATGGCATTAACTTGGCCTCTAGCACCACTGTCAGGAATCTTGGAGTTATCTTTGATCAGGATTTGTCATTTAACTCCCACATAAAGCAGACCTCTAGGACTGCCTTCTTTCATTTACGTAATATTAGAAAAATTAGACACATACTATCACAGACAGATGCAGAAAAACTAATCCATGCATTTGTTACTTCAAGGCTGGATTACTGCAACTCTTTATTATCAGGTTGCCCCAATAAGTCCATTAAAACGCTCCAATTATTTCAGAACGCTGCAGCACGAGTACTGACAGGAACTAGAAAAAGAGATCACATCTCTCCTGTACTAGCTACTCTGCATTGGCTCCCTATAAAATGTAGAATTGAATTTAAAATACTCCTCCTCACCTATAAAGCTCTTCATGGTCAGGCCCCTTCATATCTTAAAGAGCTCATAGTACCCTATTACCCCACTAGAACACTACGTTCTCTGAATGCTGGGCTACTTGTGGTTCCTATAGTCTCTAAAAGTAGAACAGGAGCCAGAGCCTTCAGTTACCAAGCTCCTCTCCTGTGGAACCAGCTTCCAGTTGTGGTTCGGGAGGCAGACACCCTCACCACTTTCAAGAGTAGGCTTAAGACATTCCTCTTTGATAAACCTTATAGTTAGGGCTGGATCAGGTGAGTCCTGAACCATCCCTTAGTTATGCTGCTATAGGCCTAGACTATCGGGGGATTTCCCATGGTGCACTGAGCTACTCTCTTCCTCTCTCTTTCTGCACTCATTCATGTCCCTTTAATGCATGTTACTAACTCCACTTCTTCCCCGGAGTTCTTGTGCTTTCTCGTCTCGCAGGTTCTCATGGATCCTGGTGGAGCCTCCTGCCATGGTCCTGCTTGACTGCCATTGCCAGTACTGTTGTTGCTGTGCACCTGTCTGTCTGTCGCTCTCTCTCTCTCTCTCTCTCTCTCTCTCTCTCTCTCTCTCTCTCTCTCTCTCTCACCCCAACTGGTCGAGACAGACGACCACCCACCTAGAGCCGGAGGATCTGTCCTAGGTTTCTGCCTTTTAACAGGCAGTTTTTCCTTGCCCTTGTCGCCAAGTGCTTGCTCATGGTGGTACTGTTGGGTCTCTGTAATTAATGTTAAAGAGTTCGGTCTAGACCTGCTCTATTTGAAAAGTGTCCTGAGATAACTTCTGTTATGAATTGGCGCTATACAAATAAAATTGAATTGAATTGAATTGAATTGGTTAGTGGTTGGGTGAAGCCATTTGTTGTCAAACAACTGTGTTTAATCTTTTTAAATCATAATGACAACAGAAACTACCCAAATGACCCCGATCAAAAGTTTACATACCCCAGTTCTTAATACCGTGTATTGCCCCCTTTAACATCAATGACAGCTTGAAGTCTTTTGTGGTAGTTGTGGATGAGGCGCTTTATTTTCTAAGATGCTAAAGTTGCCCATTCTTCTTGGAAAAAGCCTCCAGTTCCTGTAAATTCTTGGACTGTCTTGCATGAACTGAACGTTTGAGATCTCCCCAGAGTGACTCAATGATATTGAGGTCAGGAGACTGAGAAGGCCACTCCAAAACCTTCACTTTATTCTGCTGTAGCTAATGACAGGTCGACTTGGCCTTGTGTTTTGGATTGTCATGTTGGAACGTCCAAGTACGTCCCATGCGCAGCTTCCGGGCTGATGAGTGCAAATTTTCCTCCAGTATTTTCTGATAACATGCTGCATTCATCTTGCCATCAATTTTGACCAAGTTTCCTGTGCCTTTGTAGCTCACACATCCCCAAAAAATCAGTGATCCACCTCCGTGTTTCACAGTAGGAATGGTGTACCTTTCATCATAGGCTTTGTTGACTCATCTCCAAATATAACGTTTATGGTTGTGGCCAAAAAGTTCCATTTTGGTCTCCAGAAGTTTTGAGGCTTGTCTCTGTGCTGTTTGGCGTATTGTAAGCGGGATTCTTTGTGGCATTTGCGTAGTAATGTCTTTCTTCTGGCGACTTGACCATGCAGCCCATATTTCTTCAAGTGCTTCCTTATTGTGCATATTGAAACAGCCACACTACTTTTTTCAGAGAGTCCTGTATTACAGCTGAAGTTATTTGTATTTCTTTGCAACCCGAACAATTTTCCTGGCTGTGGCTGAAGTTTTTGTTGGTCTGACTGACCATGTTTTCGTTTCAACAGAATCCCTCATTTTCCACTTCTTAATTAGAGTTTGAACACTGCTGATTGGCATTCTCAATTCCTTGGATAACTTTTTATATCTCTTTCCTGTTTTATACAGTCCAATTACCTTTTCCCGCAGATCCTTTGACAATTCTTTTGTCACTTTTGTCAAACACTGATTACAAGCAAACAGATCACAGGTGAGGATGGTTACCTTTAGAAGCCATTCAAACCCGTTTGTCAACTTGTGTGCATGTTATCAGGCCAAAATCTCCAGGGTATGTAAACTTACAGTTTCTGTTTTCATTATGATTTAAAAAGATTAAACCTAGTTGTTTGACAATAAATGGCTTCACCCAACCATTAACCATGAGTGAAAGAAAAGTTTTTCTCCTATCATTCATATTCTCTGGAAATGGCCAAAAAATCATAAATTCTGCCAGGGTATCTAAACTTATGAGCACAACTGTATACAACTGTTGTGTCATTTTTGTTGTGCCAGTCTGTCACTTACAGGGCATTTCTCCTCTCATCACTCCTGGAAAGCTCTTCCACGTATTCCTTCAGATAGGCCTGAAGCTCCTCATAAGTTCCCACCATTTGGTTGAAATTGCTGGTGTGGAGGGGGTAGGGGACAAAAACATCACCAGCTTTAATTTCAGTGTGTGTTTGGCTTTGTAAGGAGCCTAAAAATCAAACCATACCCAGTGATGCTACTTCAGAGTTTCCTTTAAATTTTACTAAATGACCATATCTAGCTGATGACTCAGCTGTGTTCTGTGCTTTACCAGCATTGGTAGAGCTGAGAGCAAATCTACATATTGTGTTACATACCGTTACTAAATGGATGAGAATGAATAAACAGATGAGGCATGTTTACTTGTAGACCTATCATTCTAAACTCACAGCCTCATCTGGTGATAATAATTTTAGTAATGTGCAGTTAGAGGTTGAGGTTAAAGCTAGTACATATACATTCAACGACTATATTTCACTATATGACACAGACACTGAAATAATGTTATAATACATAAAGGCCATGCTCTCCATATTAAAAGTCTTAAATATCATTCAGTCAGATTAAGAATAGCCTAATATACAATATTATATGAACACTATGACAGGAATGTTCCTTCATTGCGACCATAAAATCATGATATATGCTCATTATTCATTGATCAGTGTCTCATGTGTCTAAACCTTCATTAATATATTTTTTATTTAGGACAAGATTACTACAGTAATGTGCACTTCGATCCTCTTTTCAACTGCATTTGAATATTCCAACTGTTGTTTAAACTTTCAGTTTAACGGTTTTGAGCAAAATTTCATGTATGATTTTTGCTTCATATGATGATTATCTTTGTGTATATGAGAGATGAGATAAGATATTCCTTTATTGATACCCCGTAGAGGAAATGCAAAGGATTACATTTTGAAGATGCCATGTAAGGGTATGGTTTAACTAAAGGGTCCAACTGTAGATAAGCAGCTACTCACTCTCTGTCCACCACCAGGCAGTGTGTGTCATTCTCACTGCAGATGATGTTGGCTGAGCGAACATCCTCGCTGTAAACAAACAATGTACAGTTCAGTCAGACACAACAAACCCATATGTACACACAGCAATTTCTGCTTCAGAGTGAGGAGTATGAGCTATAAGCAGCACACCATGCCAAATAGCATCAATTGGGTGAGTGTGTTCATATCACACAGCTGTGACTTTCTGGCATAGGTTTCATTGGTAAAGCTGCATAATAGAAAACTGTAGGGGACATTACGTTACAACTTCATAGGTAGCAACTCATTAGAAAGCAATTGTATGTGCAACTAAAACAGTCCTTCTACAGAAGATCTAAGTAGGTAAATAAAATGTTATCAACATCTAAGTAATACCATAATAGTCATACTTTTCAAATAATTATTTTATGTAAGCAAGAAATTACATTTATTCACCTTTACACTGATTTGGACATCATGCATCCACAGATTTCAACAAAAATTCTTCTATATTTCAACATTGAAAATACTTCTATACTAGTCTTCAATCTGTGAAACAGTGGATTTTTATTATTGCAGTGTGCACACTATGAAAACAGTGTTTGTGTAATTTAGGTCCATTGTGTGCAGCACAGAACATAACCACATAATGGAGAGTTTTCAGGGCAGTTGATTAGATAACATGACTGAAAAAAGGAAACACTGATGACAGTGATGATGAATGGCTGCCAGGAAAACTCTCTTCTTTCTAATGACAGTGAAGCCGAGGATGATGCTGAGGATGCTGAGAGTACTACGTTCATGCCATATGGGATGGACGGTAGACAAAGGAAAGATTCCCATGTATACTACTTGCAAGTGTTAACTTCACAAGCCTATTTAGAAAGGTTGTATGATTGCAGATTTGTAGCTTGTGAGAGGATTAAAAATACTGACAATCTGGGTTTAATAACATTGAACGACAGACTTTGATACATCCAACCTGTATGGATCAGCCAGAGCTTTCAGAGGAATCTGAGAATCCCAGTATGATTACAACTAGGATGTTGTTCTCAACTCTATTTATAAGCCAGCAGCTAGTAATTAAGGGTTCCACTGACAAAGTGGTAAATCCCGGCACAAAATTCCACCTGACTAGATTTTACAGGTTGTGACAATTCACTTCAAGATGCACTAGACACAGTGCACAGTGCACCAGGTTGACTCCCATACATATTGTGTGTAAATATAACAGGACCATTGGGTTAATCCCTCACATTCGCCATTTGCATCATGCAATATCTTTTTAATTGGTCCACAGAATGTGATGATAAGTACTAGTGACAACCTATGAGTAATTTCTTTGACCTAAGATTATGCTTATTTAGCTATCAATTGTGATCAGAAACAAAAATCTGTTTAATCCAATGTTATATGGGTGCTGTTGTGTGTGAAGCTGATGTTAGTACCTGATGAGAGCTTTCTCTCCAAAGTAGTCTCCGACTCCCAGTGTCTTGATTTCCTGTGGTTCAGCAAACCCCTCTGTGCTTTGAGTGACTATGACCTAGACAGACAGAGGCACAGCAACAACCTGTTTTACTCATCATCAGAGTTACATTGTCAGTTGTTTTATCAATGCAATCATGAAATTAAGACAATTATTCTCTCACTGTTGGACTCACTGTGAGTTAATTATAATAAAAGCTTTGGATCATTTCCTTAGATGTGTATTTACTCGCAAGTTTTTTCTCAGTGTGCCCACATACTATGACCAACAGCCTTAAACTATAGTTACTTTAATGGGCCCTGTTGGTTTCAATAAAAATATTTAATTCAGACAACATTATGACTTTAAGAGGGCATGTTAGGCAAGTTTGTGCAGATTTCTCACCTCTCCTTTTGCGATAATAAAGAAAGTGTTCCCTTCTTCACCCTCTCGGATAATGTGCTCCCCTTTTTCAAAATAGTCCTGAAAAGACAGAGGGTCAGTTATTTTCTTGTCCGCTTAGACAAAATCTGAAACTATTCAGTCACAAACAGATACTGTACGGTTATGAGGAAAAAATGTGGTGAAGTGGGAAATACTCACTACTTCAAGACAATCCACAATCTTGGCTAGTTTCTCCTCAGGCAGTCCTCTAAGCAGAGACACACTACAGAGACACAAATACAGTGATGTGATTTGAGTTTTCAGTTTTTGGTATTTAATACAAACGTTTCTGAAAACACATTTTGTTTTGATGGGTTATTAAAAAAAATGCACTTTTACGTTTCAAATTATATCTACAACAGCAAAGTGAGCAAAAAGTGATCTGAATACTTCATTTTTATTATGTGGGTTAAATGTGGGCTATGTTTAAACACATGCACAGATTGGCTTGAAAAACACTGATTGAGGGGGCCCTTTAAGGAAAAGATGCAGGGTTTTTACAGCATGAAGAATTTGAAGTCAGACCTCTTCTTGTTTAAATTCTTTCATTTCTTTGACCATATCTATAATAATAAGACCAATTTCAAGAGTTTTTCATGAATGCACTACTTCCAACTGTACAGAGTTCTGCCCAGGTCTAAAACACAGACCTGAACCCAGCCTGTAACTGCAGCTTTGAGACTTGCCCGGACCACATTTGAAACATTTGAATAAAGCTACATTTTTCATTACTGAAGGTTAGCTCACCAGGCTAATGCCACACATTGGCACCACTCTTTCGCTCTCCCCACTGGGCATTGTGTTTCTACTTACAATACAGTAGTATGAGTGCTACAGCGACCACATTTATATCAAGCCATGTTCCAGTCCATTCGCACTCCCAAATCATCAAATATGGCAGCTTGGTCAGTGGTTCAATATGCTTCAAAGTAGGACGCTATAGGTATGTCTCCAGCATGGTTTCTGGTGTAATGTTTTGAGTGGCTGTTGAAGTGAGGTGACATAGTATAAAAAACGAGAAAGTCTCTAATGTGTAGATGGTGGGGTGGATGGATTGGGTCCAACTAACCGTGGGCTTTAAACCAGGAGACCGCTGTTCGCTTCCAGTGTGAAACAAAATGTCAGTGTTGACCTCTTTAACTTAACGTGTCTGAAAGATGTGAAACTTTTCTCCTGAAGCTTCATTTTCCAACATACTGTTGCTGTCAGACAAAACATCATATGTTCATATTTTGTCATTTATTTTTTTCATCAATCAATACCATTAGTCACCATTTACATCTCTTAGTCTTACAAATATTTGACCAATGAAGAGTATTAAAACCAACAACACCAAATTTCACTAGCAGTGTTCAATATTGTAAAAACTACTTTTTTTTTATTTCCTGGAAAATCACCCGACCGCAACAAGATCTAGAGTGTCAGAAACTGATGGTGTGTAATATATTCAGCATCATTTGAAGCGGCCCACTGACAAACTGCAGTATTTCACGAGCTGGGAGTAAGAATTTGTTGCGTTTTCACAGTAAGGTCCTACAGCTGTTCATTAATCAATGTCCAATTACTGTAGAATGAAAACAACTTACACTTTTGGCTGGGGAGGTTGGTAAGAAATAAGAGATTTGAGAAGGAGAAGAAGACAAAGATGACGAAGACGAAACTATTTTTTGAATTTGCACACTTACCAGTAGTAACCCATATAGTAACCAAATGCTATTCACATAAACATTTGCCCCAAATCCCATCTGATCACTAACCCCTGCATATGCCGTTAAACAAACCTTAGACAGGGTTAGGGTTAGTTAGTATTGCAGTGACTGAATGCAGTAACTCACCCAGTGTGAATCAGTTTGAAATACACTGACAACCTCACTGAAACTCTTGGTTGCTTTGTAGATGAGGAGACATACAGAGTCTGTCGGTTGTGTTTGTACCTGCGCAGGAAGCTGAAGTACTCCTCGTGTCTGGCCTGTGTGGTCCGCATCATAATCGTCTGGAATGTCTGGCGGTCCAGTGCCCAGATGTGAGACTGGGACACAGCTGGATGAGAGCGGAACCATCAACAATCATTAAAACCCACTGCTTCATCCTCACTGTGGAGGATAGTTAAGGGTCCTTGATGTAAACCTCAGTGTTTCTCCAGATTGTACATGTTGCTAGGCTTCTTGGCTAGTGGCTAAACACAGTGTGCAAGACTTGATAATGTTGAAAAGCATCAGCATTGTGCCAGTTTGTTCTATCTTTAAAATGCTTTCCATCCATTACTAATTCAACCATTGTGTGCTACAGTGCTACAACAAAAAAACTGCTTGAAAACATGGACCAGCACACCCATACAGTATGTAGTAAATGGATGAGTAGTTTAAAAGTATATTTAATAACTCCCTGTGTGAATACTGCATCAGATATCTGCCCCATGTACCATACAGCCAGCAGATGTCTTACACATGATATGGATGCGGTTGTCAAACACACACAATACACATTTAGGCACCAGAGAGTGTATGCATGTAAGTAATCCCAAAGCTGCGACTGAGTTGGTGTTATTTAAGGGGAATACTACTGTCACTCACCTTTAACAGTGGCTGTTCTCTTACAGTTGTACAGTATGGCCAGTTCTCCAAACGCTGTGCCAGGACGCATCTCTCCCAGCAGCTTCCCGTTCTGGATGACCTCCAGCAATCCCTCTGCAGTGAGGAACATAATACAATTCAAACTCATTCCATGCTAAAGTAGTGGTAATTTGATCAGTTTTCTCTTCTTCCATCCATTTTTAGGACACAATTGAGAATGCACTGGCAGCAACCTATTCCTTTATTGTTTAGAAATTGGACCAACAGTTTTATATTTAGCTCAAGCTGATGAAGAAGATCCAAAAAAGTAAATTCCAACTATGTATACCATATTAAATTGCACTGACTAATATTCTTTTACATTGTATCGCATTGAATCAAATTAAGTTAAACTGCATTGCATTTGTTGTTTAAATTTGTTTTTGATCTCGTGGCACTTCTTACAGGCACTGAAAACAAGAGTGACACCACCTGAAGATATTTCAGTCAAGATATCTGTAGCACTCTCTGTGAGGCTCTTGTTTATTGTGTACACTAATATATCGCTCTTCTTTTTATAGTTGTATTTATAACTAACATATAAATGATCTTTTATTATCTATAAGTACAAATTACATGATTAAGAAAAAAATTAAATTTACAGGTTTATTTAAAACTGTGCCTCATTGTCGACTTTGATAAATGTGGCCTGGCTCTGATTAAACCCCTTTGTCAGTGTTAGAGTAAGGCGGGTCATGACCTTGCTATCCTGGAGGAAAAAAATGGCCAACAGATACCGTTGGGAAGAAGCATGGTCCCATCCATCATGGATTCATGGATGGAGTTTCAGGTACACACTGAAACTGTACTTAACAACTGCTTTAACATACAGCTAAAATGATTTCAGCCTTCTTCAAAGAATACTCAACCAGGTTTTTGATGCAACTATCATAAAAGGAATGTTAAGTTAAAGGGGAACTTGGCAACTATTTCAACTTAATAAACCTGTTTAGAAATCATTTGGATGGTTAAATGGCCTGTTCCGGTGAAAATGGTGACTTTCCCCACATCCCCTAGCGTCCCCAGGCGGAAAACCAACTTTGCAACTTTGGGACTGGAAATAGGAAGTATCGTGAGAAGCGAGAACGAGCGAGAACGAGCGAGAAACACAAACTGCTTTATGGCAATTCCACATAAACGCACACGCCCCCCTCAATACCGGTTAGCCAAGCCGGCTATAAAAACAAGTGACGATGAATGTATTACCCATCTCGGTAGACATTGCTCCACACAAAAAAGTTGCCCAGCAACAAATGCAAATCAGCAGCGGTAGAAAGGGGGAGGAGGGTGCCGCAAGGGAGTTTTTTTACGACAGTTTTGAAATATACGTCCCAGAGCTGTAGGGGGAGCTTGTTGAGAAAACATGCGACGACAAAAGTGAAAACCAGCGAAGAAATGGCTAGAGTTGCCAAGTTCCCCTTTAATAGGAGATAATAATAGGAATTCTTTAAACTACCTATTTGTTGAATTTAAGAATTTCAATATATATTACTTACTAAAAAAAAAAAGATCCCCCTGATCCTTTACATTTTTAAAAAATGGGACAGTGGACGTCCCATCAGAGCTACCCACATTCTGCTGAGCTGACCTGCCAGTACGTAAAGGTAGTTTCCGGGTTCCCCCTCCTGAATGACCACCTGTCCCTCGGTGTAAACCTTCTCGTACATACAGTCCACCATTTCCCTCATGTGCTGTGGCTCCAGCTTCTTCAGGAAGTCATTGTTCATGATGGCATCGTTGATGAGCCTCTTGGTGCTGGGATGGCAAGAAGCAGCAGAGAGAAACAGTGCCAAATCACGTCAAAGTTAAACCTGAATGCCCAGCAGTGGAGGTAGCTTGGATTAGATGCTAGAATTTGTATTATATTACATAACAAATGTGATCATATCAGTACCGTATAAATTATCAAACACAGTTTCTAGACCAATAGAGTGTCAAATTTGGGTCCTGGGTTCAAATTACTGCATTAACGCCTGCAGTTTCAATTTATTCAGCAGAGTGTGTTTGCATGTGTCCCTGATTACCACATCACACGGACAATGTGCTAGTGCGTTCAGTGAAAAGCAGAGTGCTTGAATGGGTCTGAGAGTAGTAGGCAAGAGAGGCAGCATAGGCGGTGTAATTGAAGCCCATAATGACCCAGACACTGCATTTAGATCCTGTGGCCTTTGTTTCCCTCCATTTCTCTCCATTATCCTGCCATGCTAATACAGCCTTTGAGATGTGGGGGATATTACAAAGGCTTACCTGAGCTGCCTCATTCTCCTGCCAATGATATTCTGTTTAGAATGATCCCAGTTGATCAAACTGTTTAAATAACAACTGTTTTTATTTTTGAGCAACTGAAGAAATTGTTGATTTTCTTTGATGTAATGCACCATTGTCTAGTTCTGTCATAAGTGACACTTAGTCTCAGAGGTAATTTGTCTTGCTTGAGTAGAGTCTTGGCTTGACACCTTACCAGTCATTCATCCAGTCTGACATTGTGTTTCAGCCTACATCTGTTTCAGAGGGCAGGTATTTTGTCCTGATCAGTAGCGAGTGAAATATCCATCCTCTCAATATCATTTTCAGACATACTAGAAATTGCTAGTGGCAGTGAACCGTAAGGTTAATAACTCTTAATTAACAAATGTGTTCAATTGTGGTAATTACAATAATTTTACTTATGCTGACCTGCACATAGTGCTCAATAGTGGACCTATTTAGTCTAGAATGTAAATCATTTTCAAAAGTATCTAGTAGTGTTTTAGATTTTCATTATGTATTTTACTACCTCGGCTGCGGCTCAGATGGCAAAGTGGGTCGTTTAGTAATCAGAGTATTGTTGATTCGATTCCGTGCTTGTTCTTAGGCAAGGCACTGAACCCCATATCGCTCCCTGAGCCTTTGCAGTTGCTGTGTGTGTATGTGCGAGCTTAGTATGCTTTGGTGCTGAACAGGTTGGCAGGTTGTGTGTGAATGTGTGAATGTGAAAAGGGCTGTATCGGTAGACCAAAAAGGTCTAAAGCGTTGTTTCCTGTCACTGTCGACCTCAGGGGGATGGGTGACCACTCCAGTGCACCATGTTAAAGAAAATAGCAAAAAGTGCCTTCTTGGAGGCCCCTATGGTAGATAAAACATGATAGTGCCCTTTAGGGTTACCCTGAAGGCAACCATGATTCCTATTTTTTGTTGAAAGAAATCAAATTGCCAGCATCAGAATATACAATATTGGCCTGGTAAAGCCTTATCATGGAAGACAGACAACAGAGCACAGGACACCTCATAACTTCCAACCAAAAAGACTTAAGTATCAAAATGCTTTTTGGCTTCTCTCTCTGAGTTTAAAAAAATCAGTTATTAGTCTCATCCCTGCATAATATGTAGAAACGAGCACACATAGTGGGCTTGACATTTTCATGTTTAAGAATTACCCTCATTGGTAAAAGTGGTCACTAATGCAATCCATTGCAACTGGTTTTTACAGCTACAGTACCATTCAATACTACAGAGGGTTTCACATTTAAAACAGATCTCGGTAAGGTTTAACTTACTGTGAGTCTTTGCAGACAGCCTTAGCGATAGAGATGTGTGTTGCTCTGAACCCTCCACAGAAGTTCTCTGAGGTGGGTTCAGCAGAGACACCCTCCTTTGCTTTGAGCCTGCGGTGGACCTCCACAGCAACCCTGTGGAAGCGGCTGGGACCCTGGTTGATGACACTGAAGCGGCGGTGGCTATGGTGGCACAAGGTGGGCGGAGAGCAGCCCAGGCTGTTGTTGTAGCCAATGGCATCCTGGAGCTTGTCGATCTGGGAGATCTTGGCCTCCAGTTCCCTCTGGAGGTGCTGTAACTGAAGCTCCTGGGCTCGAAACTCTTGGTCCCGACATGCCAGCTCCGTCTCTAGGTGGGTGATTCGCAATCTGAAGATCCGAATTGGTTTAATCACTAAGTAGACATAAAGGTAGACTCACAAAACACACATAAACAACTATTTAAACGGGTTATTTATATAATAATACAAAGGCTCGATTTCTATGGAAGCTGCACGATAATTTTAAATGAGGTCTGGCTTATCATTAGACCCTGCAGTGGACATCAGGATGTACCTTCACACAACTACTAGCACTGCCCTCATGGAACACCACTCTCTAAGCCTGACTTAACGTACCATTAAACTGCCTTTGAATTCTATTCTCACCCAAGCAGATACTTCCGAACATGACATGGCCTTATATCCTTACTAGTGCTGAGTACTACTATTACTCAGCACTAATAGAAGAAAATAAGAACAACCCTAGGTTCCTCTTCAGCACTGTAGCCAGGCTGACAGAGAGTCACAGCTCTATCGAGCCACATATCCCCATAAACTTAAGTAGCAATGACTTCATGAGCTTCTTCTATAATAAAATTATTACTATTAGAGAAAAATTAATCACCAACTGCCATCAACAGTTATCAGTGGCTCTCCAAGTTCAGGGACTTCTGTCAATGTAAACTTAGATGTATATTTAGACTGTTTTTCTGCTATCGATCTTCATCAGTTAACTTCAATCATTTCTTCATCGAAGCCATCAACCTGTCTGTTAGACCCGATCCCAACTAGGCTGCTTAAAGAAGTTGTTCCCTTAATTGGCACTTCTTTACTGGATATGATTAATCTTTCTTTATTATCAGGATATGTACCACAGTCCTTTAAAGTAGCTGTAATTAAACCCTTCTTAAAAGTCTACTCTTGACCCAGGGGTTTTAGCCAACTATAGACCGATTTCTAACCTCCCGTTCCTCTCTAAGATTCTGGAGAAAGTAGTCGCCAAAGAGTTGTGTGACTTTCACATAACAATAGTTTATTTGAGGATTTTCAGTCAGGATTTAGAGTTCATCATAGCACAGAGACAGCTCTGGTTAAAGTTAATAATGACCTTCTGACTGCTTCTGACAATGGACTTGTCTCTGTACTTGTATTATTAGATCTTAGTGCTGCATTTGACACCATTGACCATGATATTCTTTTACAGAGACTTGAGCATCAAATTGGCATTAAAGGAACTGCCCTAACCTGGTTTAAGTCATACTTATCAGATCGTACTCAGTTTGTACATGTTAACGATGAATCCTCCATAAATACTAAAGTTAGTCATGGAGTTCCACAAGGTTCTGTACTTGGACCAATACTATTTACTTTATATATGCTCCCTTTAGGCAACATTATTAGGAATCACTCCATTAACTTTCACTGTTATGCAGATGATACGCAGTTATATCTATCAATCAAACCCAATGAAATTAATCAATTATCTAAATTACAAACATGTCTTAAGGACATAAAATCCTGGATGACCTGCAATTTTCTGATGTTAAACTCAGAAAAACCGAAATTCTTGTTCTTGGCCCCAAAACCTTAGAGACTCATTGTCTAAAGATATAGTCACTCTAGATGGCATTAACTTGGCCTCTAGCACCACTGTCAGGAATCTTGGAGTTCTCTTTGATCAGGATTTGTCATTTAACTCCCACATAAAGCAGACCTCTAGGACTGCCTTCTTTCATTTACGTAATATTAGAAAAATTAGACACATACTATCACAGACAGATGCAGAAAAACTAATCCATGCATTTGTTACTTCAAGGCTGGATTACTGCAACTCTTTATTATCAGGTTGCCCCAATAAGTCCATTAAAACGCTCCAATTAATTCAGAACGCTGCAGCACGAGTACTGACAGGAACTAGAAAAAGAGATCACATCTCTCCTGTACTAGCTACTCTGCATTGGCTCCCTATAAAATGTAGAATTGAATTTAAAATACTCCTCCTCACCTATAAAGCTCTTCATGGTCAGGCCCCTTCATATCTTAAAGAGCTCATAGTACCCTATTACCCCACTAGAACACTACGTTCTCTGAATGCTGGGCTACTTGTGGTTCCTATAGTCTCTAAAAGTAGAACAGGAGCCAGAGCCTTCAGTTACCAAGCTCCTCTCCTGTGGAACCGGCTTCCAGTTGTGGTTCGGGAGGCAGACACCCTCACCACTTTCAAGAGTAGGCTTAAGACATTCCTCTTTGATAAAGCTTATAGTTAGGCTGGATCAGGTGAGTCCTGAACCATCCCTTAGTTATGCTGCTATAGGCCTAGACTATCGGGGATTTCCCATGGTGCACTGAGCTACTCTCTTCCTCTCTCTTTCTGCACTCATTCATGTCCCTTTAATGCATGTTACTAACTCCACTTCTTCCCCGGAGTTCTTGTGCTTTCTCGTCTCGCAGGTTCTCATGGATCCTGGTGGAGCCTCCTGCCATGGTCCTGCTTGACTGCCATTGCCAATACTGTTGTTGCTGTGCACCTGTCTGTCTGTCTGTCGCTCTCTCTCTCTCTCTCTCTCTCTCTCTCTCTCTCTCTCTCTCTCTCTCACCCCAACTGGTCGAGACAGACGACCACCCACCTAGAGCCGGAGGATCTGTCCTAGGTTTCTGCCTTTTAACAGGCAGTTTTTCCTTGCCCTTGTCGCCAAGTGCTTGCTCATGGTGGTACTGTTGGGTCTCTGTAATTAATGTTAAAGAGTTCGGTCTAGACCTGCTCTATTTGAAAAGTGTCCTGAGATAACTTCTGTTATGAATTGGCGCTATACAAATAAAATTGAATTGAATTGAATTGAAAATATCCATGATGCACTGTATCTGCTTAGCCTAGCCTACACTGGCTGGTCCCACCGGACTGACCGGCAGTTTCATATGAATGTTTTAGCGTGTCAACATCGACAAAGACTCAACATCGTTTTTGTTGACCAAGACATGACCTAATAGCTTTTTTGAAACCCAAACAATGATCTTTCCCTAATTGAACCAAGTCAATTTTGAGCCTAACCTAACCAAACCTGAACCAGCAGTGGTAGATCAGACAATGCTAATATGAGTCTTTGATGTAATGATGAAAACACTTTTGGAAGGCACAAATAAACAACTGGTTACTATGTTTAGATGATGTTTTTGTTATAGATGAAACGTGTGTTTGCAAATGCATGTCGCTGTATTTAGCCTTAAATGTAGTCAGAAACTCAACTTGGTGCCATTTTCAGAGCATCAAAGATCAATTACAGCCCATTGATCCAATCAGGTGGGAAGGATTTGTGAGTAAAAGAGATCTGTTAATCACGTAGACCTACTTGAAATCAGCCAAACAAATTCCTTATCGAACCTTTCCACACCACAATGAGATGAGTGACAATTATCTGCTGCCACATTTTAGGAACAATGGTTAAGAACCCAATAAACACAATGGCAAGCTAAATCTCACCATTGTGAAACTAGAATTAAGTATTTTGGGTCAAGTAACCTTGTGAGGCATCTGAATTTGCAAGATCACAAAATTATGCAAGAATTCATCTTTCCAGACTTCCAACTATGTGCTTTTGACCAACCACAGTGGTTCAGACCAATCAGAATCCTGTAAGGACAGAGTTCATAGCAACAAGCTCCTTATAATTTCTAAGTAAATAAATAAGCTGTACAACACATCTACAGGTAACTGAACAATCTAACAATAGATTTGCTGTAAGGAAGACATATATTCATGAGGTTTGATTCTGACCTGAGGACGTCCGTGTCCAGACCAGGAGGGTCTGTGTGGATGGAGGCCAGGCAGCTGTTCTCTTCAGCCTGTGGGGCTTTGATCGAACCGTTGCCCATGGCCAGGCATTGGCTGGCCACCATAGGAATGGCCCTCAGATCAAATTCACCACGATGACTGTCTGAGAGGAAGCTCTGCAACTGGGCAAAGGGCTTTTTCTCCTTTAACACCTTCTTCCTCTCATTAATACACAGAAATGAAAATGACATGCTTTCCAAGGGTTGAGGTTGTTTGCTTCACTGAGGACATGTGTCAGTAAATCAATTCTGATTCATAATATGCAATGAATACAATACAATATCCATATGATAACAATGACTGTATACTAATATGTCACATGTCTTGTTTCAAGTTGGCAGAATCTGCCACAGACGGTGCTTCCTTGGAACAAACATTACACATACTACTTACTCAGTGCTCTTGGGTAAAATGTCACATTATAGCTTGTATTTATCCAATAGAATACACCTGCCACTTGTACTATCTGTCAATTACCACAAATCAAGTTTTTGTACCATGTAGCCATCAGATTCTCCCCAAATCTTTACAGTCCATTAACAAGAAATAGATTTTCCATGATTTACTTACAGAGTGGCTGAGGAAGGTGTTGACTGTGATAATCCTGCAGCTCTGGAACACCGACTATGATCATGATCTCATATTCCCTCTCCAGTTCAGCTGTGTCTGATTTGGTTGTCATCCACAAGCACAATGACACTCATCTGCTGGGAGGGCTCTTTTACCATGTCCAAGAAGCCATTTTGCCCATGAAGTAGAGGTATCCAGCGACCCCTAGTGGCCTTGTGGGGTTTGACATCTTGAGAGAGAGAGAGAGAGAGAGAAAGAGAGAGAGAGAGAGAGAGAGAGAGAGAGAGAGAGAGAGAGAGAGAGAAAGAGAGAGAGAGATTGATTATATAAAATGTAAAATTTCAGTAATTGGATGGTAGATGTGTTCCTACAAAACCTGATTTTGTGAGTTAAAGAGGAGTGAAGATAAAGGCATTCAAGTTCAGTGCCCTTTTATGTTTAACCCAGTGTTAATTAGGAATCAAGAAACCCTTTTCTGTATTACCAGGAAAACAACTCTAGAAGAATAGCTTATGAATTTTATATCTTAGAGACATTTTAGAATGTATTCCTAGGGATAAAATGAGCAACACCTAGTTAGTCATGGGATGATATGAAAATTTCATGTCAAAATTATCTTAGCTGAAGGTAAGGTATGTGGGCTCACCTGTCTCCCTTTCTGATGCCCATCTCTCGGCCTGCTCGCTTTGTCCAACACTGGTTATCGTTGGCCGGAGACCCACTGACAGTTAACTGTAGACATCTCACGTGGATAACAACTCAAAACAAAACTCCATATGGAGGGAAAACTCGACGGCTCTTGGCACAGTCGTGGACCTGTTCTCACTCAGTCTCCTAACCACTCCAAAATGCCCTTTCCAACTAGCACCATCTTCCAGACTGGGTTAAGCCCACCCCCTAGCCTGACAGCCATCTAAACCAGCCAATAGGGAGATAGTGTGAACTGTATGGAAGCCCATTTCCGTCAATGTGACGAAAGAATTCCGTGAGTAAGAATTTATTTTGATAGTAACAAACTTTATCAAAATAATGACTTATTATGTTTTAATACCGCCTTATTATCTTTTGTTTATTTATGTAGGTTATATAGAGGTATCAGTATTAAAATGTTTTGTAACCAGTTAAAAACTCCCTGTGTAATCTCTGAATATGCAAATGTTGTTCATTTCTAAAGTTTTCCTGCTGGACACAAGATGTCTCCTACTTCACTGTAAAGTCCATTCTCGGTGGATGTGCACTGGTGGCTTCAAGTTTCTACATCACACTGTACAAGTAGCATACTGGACCAGGATGACTTCCAAACAATTTGTGTGTCACAAATCATGCTGGTAGGCCCCGCCCCTTAAAGGAGACATATTATGCCCCTTTTCAGGTTCATAATTGTATTTTGTGGCTCTACTACAATAGGTTTAGATGTTTCAAAATTAAACATTCATTTCATGTTCAAAAAACACATTATTTTTCTCATACTGCCTATAGCTGAGCAGCTCTTTTCAGCCTCTGTCTGAAACGATCGGTTTTAGCTCCTGTCTCTTTAAGGCCCCCCTCCCAAAAAGCCCAGTCTGCTCTGATTGGTCGGTATTATGACGCGGATGACGCTCCGGACCCTCCCATTTCCGCCTCAGCGTTGCCGGCAGGTAGCTCCTCACTGCTACTGAGTTTAGCTGCATTTCTACCGTCAATATTAATTCAATAACTGCTTCTAAACCAAAAACTTCACCAGCGGACATGTTAGAGCGGGAGTCTGACCTGAAATCACAGAGAAATGAACAACATCAACAACAATCAGGATTACAGCTTTCTGTGACGTTTTCCTCAGGTAAATACTGCTATAAAAACCTCTATCTATCACATAATGTTAGTGTTTATACCTTAACTATGAGAACCAACACTGTGTTTTATTCTTGTCTTTACAGGTACAGCAGTGAGCAGTGACCTACAGTGAAGTTAAAACATATTATATGCCTGGAATACTTTATCCTGTACAACATGTCAACATAACTGAAAGAATTACTCATCTAATAAAGTAACTTGTTTATGTGGTTTAAAAACTGCTAAGTAACCAACTGTACTGTACTGTATCCATATTTCATAGTCGGATATTTTAACTTGAACGTATTATTACCAAAGTTCACCTTCAGATATTTGTAAAAGCTGCAATTATGTTTTAACCCCATTAAAAATACTGTATATGTACTGCATATTCTATCATTTATATTATATATTATGATGTCATTTATCTTCCAACATAATAAAGTTTGAATGTGAGACAGTAATGTATTGTGTTGCTTACAGGTTTACATTTCACATTTTCATATTGACAGATGTTACACGAACCAGGTTTTCAACACTTCTACATGCAGGAAATCTTCATAAAACCTCTGTGAAATAACATTTTATTTATATAAAACCACACTTATTACTGAATTTAAAAATGACCAAAACTCTTCTTAAACGTAAAACACTTTATGTTTCATTCATATTCCAGTTACAGATGTTGTAAGTAACAAAGCTATAACTTTTATATGAACTGTGCAGATCATGTCCTCCATCAAGGTTTATGGTTTCTAGTATATTGAAGTGTGAGCTGGTAATGGAGCTCTGCAGTCAGTGTTCATCTTCATCAGTCTTCCTTTGCATACCCAGACTGTCCTGATGCTGCAGCTGTCTCTGTCCTCTGATGGGTCCAGGAACACCTGAGCTTCATCAGGTCACCTGTAAAACATGGAGGATTCAGTGTAACTTGTAAGACAGCATATAATATACAGTATAATATAATACAGTATAATATAATATACAGTATAATATAATACAAGTACAACAGCTCATTGTGGCTCACAGTAGTCCTAAGTTATAATCTAAAATAATAAAGCAGTGTCTCTGGTGGTTCCTTGTTGCAGCTAACTGTAGTGATGTGTTGTTGAAACAGTCTGAGGTTACCAACACAATGTCTATCTAATGGCAGCAGATACACACACAGGACATTTACTGACTGTAACTGATGTTGGAACAAGTTCCCGGTGCAATAACAGACATTTAGCAGTGAGCCTCAGTGTTTATAATACAATAGGAGATTATATGAGTATAAGATGTTACACTGGACCTGCACTTATATCCTCAGTAATAGCAGTACTTCAGTAACGCTAAATAAATGGATCAGAAAACTTTTATTCGTCGGTTTGACTCCACAAAAAGCCTAGTGAGCAACCCCAGCTGCTGGGTGCTAATCAGAGTTACACAGTAATACTAAACTAATGAATCCCTGCAGTTTGACTGTTTCTCTCTCACTGTAGCTCTATTGTTAACTCTGGTGCACCTTGATCAAGTTAATTTACATTCAGCAGCACACACACACACACACACACACACACACACCTGAACACTCATATTACATCATAAAGTCCGACAGAGTCAGTAACTATAGTAACACAGTGACATCACAGAGCTGCTGTGTGCTAATCAAAGCTACAATGCTACCAAACTAATGACCTCCGCTGCTGAATTACACACAGTACGGTGTCTCCTGATCACAGCTGTATTGATCCAGTGAACAGATACTGAGCTACCCAGCAGATAATAAGTTACCAGGTTAAAGACAATTAAAGGCATACTATGCAGTTTTCCGGTTTTATCAAACAGCTCCCCCTAGAGTCGCTGCGGAGTACTTGTATTTAACGTTAACTGTCGTAAATACCACTCACCAGAGCCGTCTCTATATACGGCTCTGCGTCTCTGCACTCACTGCCTGATCCCCTCCCCCCTGTATACCAGTACATTGATAGATAGATAGATAGATAGATAGATAACTTTATTAATCCCACAATGGGGAAATTCACTTGTCACAGCAACATTTGAGTGAAATAAATACAGATATAAAAACAGGAACATTTGCACAGCAGGTCAAAGGTCTGATTGTCTCTGGTGGTGCATGTGACAAACTGGTGGAAGGTTGGGAGTGTGGACGAGAGAGAAACGTGGTTGAAGTCCCCTGTGATGATGATGAAGGCCCCTGTGGTGATGATGAAGGCCTCCGGTGTTTCGTTTGTAGTCGAAGTCACAGTGTAGATGACGTCACACGCTGCTTCTGCTTTCCCAGACAGAGGAATATAGACAGTGATGGCGATAACACTGGAAAGGTCCCGTGGCAGATAACATGGACGAAGTCCGACGGCGATGAGCTCGATGTCCGGGATGCAGACGCTCTTTCACACAGACGTGCCCGGGGTTACACCACCTGTTGTTTATGAGCACGGCCATTTCTTCTTGCCGGTCGCGGTGGTGTCCCTGTCGGCTCGAACCGTCTGGAAGCCGGTTTGTTGTTTGTTTCCAGTGATGACTGCAGGGATGTAGAGTTTAAACCTCCTCTTCTTCATCCTCCGTTTAACCCCCACTCTGCAGCCTCGGGTGCCTCAGGGCGATCATCTGGTCACGGGTGTAAACAATGCGACTCCCCATCGCCATGGAGAACCGTGAAAACAAAAAATAAGAAGTGCTCAAAAACGCCAAAAAAGTATTTAGGCGACGTGAACAAAGTAGGATGGAAGCGTCTTCGGAGTCTATCAGGCAAAGATAGACTCCGAAGATGTCTACTGACCAGGTAACGTCTGAGTGAATGCCTGCTAGTGTCTTCCATTGAGGCTGCCTCTTTATATTTCGTTGATGTATGTCACGTCGCGCCGTAAAGCAATTCGTGATTCTAGCGAGCGTGATTCAGACTTGCATTGCTGGTTCTGCCAGCGGCGTTCCTCTCCTGCTTTTCTATCGGGATGATTCGCTATACTACGAGTTCGTTTACCATCGAAATGACTTTGAAGCTGTTATATTAAGGTAAAAATCTTGCATAGTGTGCCTTTAAACCTGACTGAAGTTATCTTCCCTGTTCTACAAAATACAGACGAACATAAAGCCATTCCCCCCCGGCACGAAGCTCGGTGATTCACGGCTTAAACTTTGTGTGAATGTCTATAAAAATATCAGCAGGGGAGAATATGGAGACATCTGCACCAGCTGGTTAATAAATGAACTTCACCTTATAAGTTTCATGTTCATCTCTCACACATTTTACAAACATTTAACAAACATTTAACAAACAATAACTACGTTAGCATCACTGAGGCTCCTGTAGCTAACAACGGTTAGCATGTGCTAGCATTACACGAACAATAAAAAACAGCATAAACTCTTAAAAATACTTACAGTTACTTCCTCTGCCGTCTCTCCACAGACAGTTGGTACAATCCCTCTTTCAGGAACAGTCTTTCAGCCAGTCCAGTGTTGTACTGACCGAGGTTGTGAAAACAGTCCGACACAAAGTGGATAAATCCACTGTGCTCATACATATGTAAATTAGTGTTGGGCTGTGCAGCCAATGACTGAACAGTTAGTCTGCTGAAGCCTTTGCCCAGACATCAGGCTGCAGGCTGCAGGCTGGACTCGTTTGCTTGTTCTCTGTTAGCTTGCTCTTTTATAGTAACAATGGCGGAGCTCCGATAGTCAACAGGAAGTAAACTGCGGTGGGTGGCAACATGGAGCCGAACTGACATCAAAAACTCTGAACATCTGAAATTGAGTGATTTATCTCCTGTATTCTGACTGAGGCAGCCCACAATAACATGACTGAGTCCTTTTTTTTCACACTTTGCCTGCTGATAGGCCCTCCAGATTCCCAAATGTACATAATCAAATGATTAAAAAGTTGGTTTTGCATAATATGTCCCCTTTAAAATCTGATTTTCAATGAGCACAGAGAAACTTTCCACTTTCAGCAGATGAATGTGAAAACATCCTTTTCGTGCCAAACTCTGCACATACAGCATTCAAACATCACACTGTAGGGACAAGAAGGAAAATTGAGTTTAAGTGTTTGTCCAGGTTTTCAGACAACTTCTTTGAGATTGCTGCCTCAACAAATGTTTGTTTCAAACCCTTTCTTCCATCCATGGACAGATATTGTAAAGATGTTTAAATACTTTGGCACTTTATGTAAAAAATACTGTCACTAAACACTAAACTAAACTACTAAATTCAATTTCAATTCAATTCAATTCAATTCAATTTTATTTGTATAGCGCCAATTCATAACAGAAGTTATCTCAGGACACTTTTCAAATAGAGCAGGTCTAGACCGAACTCCTTATAACATTATTTACAGAGACCCAACAGTACCACCATGAGCAAGACCTTGGAGACAAGGGCAAGGAAAAACTGCCTGTTAAAAGGCAGAAACCTAGGACAGATCCTTCGGCTCTAGGTGGGTGGCTGTCTGTCTCGACCAGTTGGGGTGAGAGAGAGAGAGACAGAGAGAGAGAGAGAGCGAGAGACAGACAGACAGGCAGGTGCACAGCAACAACAGTATTGGCAATGGCAATCTAGCAGGACCATGGCAGGAGGCTCCACCAGGATCCATAAGAACCTGCGAGACGAGAAAGCACAAGAACTCCGGGGAAGAAGTGAAGTTAGTAACATGCATTAATGGGACATGAATGAGTGCAGAAAGAGAGAGGAAGAGAGGAGCTCAGTGCACCATGGGAAATCCCCCGATAGTCTAGGCCTATAGCAGCATAACTAAGGGATGGTTCAGGACTCACCTGATCCAGCCCTAACTATAAGCTTTATCAAAGAGGAATGTCTTAAGCCTACTCTTGAATGTGGTGAGGGTGTCTGCCTCCCGAACCACAACTGGAAGCTGGTTCCACAGGAGAGGAGCTTGGTAACTGAAGGCTCTGGCTCCTGTTCTACTTTTAGAGACTATAGGAACCACAAGTAGCCCAGCATTCAGAGAACGTAGTGTTCTAGAGGGGTAATAGGGTACTATGAGCTCTTTAAGATATGAAGGGGCCTGACCATGAAGAGCTTTATAGGTGAGGAGGAGGATTTTGAATTCTATTCTACATTTTACAGGGACTCAATGCAGAGAAGCTAAACACTTTGCATAATTGTAAAATACTTACATAATTTTTTTTTTGCAAGGGTTGTGTCAGAAGTAAGAAAAGAGATAGCCAAATAAAAAAATCCAATAACAAGAAACATGCATGCACAAACTAAAAAAGAAACTACTTCCATTGAAAATGGGTTTCTTTATTCCGAGTCAGTGGCAAATTACTTAGAAATTTTACTTACTACTTTTACTTTACTAATTTTACAGTGAATCTGTTTGGCAATAGTGAGGACAGCTGCCATTGTTTGGATTATAAAAAGTAAAAATAAACTTATTTTGGAAAACAAATATCATCACCTTATAAACATTCAGTTCTTACACTACACTAAACTAACAGGTACTCGGCAAGTGGATCGCAGTGAATACCTCACCTGTGGTTGGAAGTCACATTGAATCTTGGAAAACAAACTTATACATCTTAATTCAATGTTGTGGTAGCACAGAAATCTGCACATGGGTCACTCAGCTGGCAGACTTCTTTTGAATGTGCAGAAAAAAAACATCTAATGTACAGTATAATGTTCCATTACCAATATAGGAAAAAAAGATGAAAAGAAATGTAAATAGTGCTTCATACAGGCTTAACAATAGCATGCAAATTCTGTATAATGCCCTCTTATCCATTCTCAGATATTGCTCTAATCTGACAAGTACAAAATTTCAAACCAAAACAAATTATACATCAAGAGTTTTACGTTAAACAAAATAAAACAGGTTAACTGTGTTTATGAAGAGTTTACATTTTTCTACTTTATCTTCTTTATGTTCCAAATGTAAATACAAACAGTGTGTCCTAAAGAAAAGATGTTGTACATACAAAGAACAACGAGGTAACGCTTCACTTGAAGAGCACTGTGAGGCATTAGCACATTATAACGATCAAAGAACTTGAAGTCCAGATGAAATTAAAAATGCCTATTTCACCCCAACTGGTCGAGGCAGATGGCTGCCCACCTAAAGCCAGGGTCTGCTTGAGGTTTTTGCCTCTTAAAATGAAGTTTTTAACACAGACCCAACAGGTGGGAACTGTTGGGTCTCTGCAAATAATTTTATAAGGAGTATTACTTTACCTGTTGTATTTAAAAAGTGTCATGGGATAACTTCTGTTATAAATTGCACTATACAAATAAAACTGAATTGATAACATCCCCAGTCATATTATACCCCTATCAAACAATGTTGGCCAAAAGTATTTTTTATATTGAAATCCAATCTTTTTTTCTTGTAAAACAAAATGTGACTAGTGCTTACCTAAGTATAAACCAACCAGTTTTAACCAATAATATCATGACATCAATCAGTCTGAAGCTTTTAGCAATACATATACATATATATCTACATGCATATTTGTTAGCGAGCAAGAAACAGCTGGGCTCTTTCCCGGAGTGTAGTATTTCTGGGTGCCAGACCTCACTGACTACTGTACAAAAACACAAATTTATCAGTCATTTGGATGAAACTGGATCATATTTTATGGAGAAAATATAGCTGAGAATAGCTGAACTAAACTTTTCTTTTCAATTTCCAGTTCAAACACAATATTTGTTATGTGTGCAGCAAAAACAAAGTCGTTTAGTGTGTAGTTCCTCTTGAGAATTAGTCTTTCTAGTGACTTTGAAAAAAGGCCCCAGAGCCAGTGTTTGGTTTGTCCGTTCTGGGCTACTGTAGAAAATATGGCAGTTCAACAGGGTGGATAAGAGGACCTGCTCCCTCTGTAGATAAAAATGTCTACAGAGGAATAACGAAAACACAGCAATTCTTATTTTCAGGTGATTATACACTAGTGAAAACATACCTATGAGTATTATATCCCCTTTCTGACAATAGATCGTCCTAAATGTTACACACTTTTCCGGTTGGTCCACATGGCTGCATGAGCAGTGCGTAACAGTTGCCTTGCTGAACTACTGCAGTTTGCACGCCCGAGGTGACCACACAGAGCGTGTTTGTGCTGTGGTGCTGCTGCCAGCCCTTTCTTAGAGTTTACCTGATAAATACCATGCAATAAAAGCCTTGTTAATATATGAATGGATTCTGTCCACAGAAATGGCAGAGAGCTTTTAATCTAAAGCAGACACAGCAGACCCTTTTCACTGTCTATTTCTGCTAGGAACTGCGTGTGGCTCAAGAAAAAAAATAAGTTCTGCTCATGCATCCTGTGTGGACCGGGCTTAATTGCTCCTACTGTAGCAACCGCTACAGTGGCTTCCGGGGTGACTGAAAATGATGTCAAGGGAACAAATACATCCTTGCTGAATGGTTGGGAAAAATCTGCTAACATAAACCTGATGTTAAGTTACCACAAGGAAGTCTGATTATCAGGCTAACAGCCTCCAGCTCATTTATTACTTTTTATACTTAGTGCATCATGACTTTACCTGCAGAGCTCCTCAAGTGAAGTAAATAATACATAGCAAAGACAGGCATTTACAGGTCTGTCACACCAACCACATGTTGCAGTTACAGCTGATACAAAATCAAACAGTATATGTGTACTCTTCATGTAATGTGAGTCAAATAATGCCTGTATTTAGATTCAGTGTAGCTAAAAACACATTTTCTGAGTTCACAAAACAAATTCTATATTCTGTACCCCAAATTCATGCACACAAATATTGTGATTCCTTCTTTGTTTGCAGTATATTGCATAGAGTACAGTGTTACAACTCACTGTTACAATAGGTTAAAGATACATAAAAATTGTGACATAGCCAACCAAGTAAATAAAGCAAATGAACAACTTGCTTTCTATATATACCTCTCTCCCTCTCTCTGGCTCTCTCTCTCTCTCTCTCTCTCTCTCTCTCTCTATATATATATATATATATATATATATAAATAAACTGTGTTCTTTCAATATTTGTGCAAAATAGAAATGTGAAGTTTAAAGCAGAAGAAACTTTCAGATACAAAATGTTGAGTTTTATGAAAAATCAGGGATTGTATTTTTAAAATGCAGTATTTGATAAATTCTACATTGCCTGACAGGAGAGATTCTGTTGAAATGATAACTTTAAACAACACAAAAAATTCAACTTAAATGTTTCAATAAAATCAGATGTTAATAAATGTGAATTGTGGTTATGATCCCTTTTGCATGATGGCTGAGAGAGCAACAAAACACAACCTAACAGACAAAAGACATGCAATGATGATTATAATGCCTTTCTTTGCTCATGTTTTGTCTTGTCACTTGTGTTTTTTTTTTTTTTTTTTTTTTTTAGTTTTGCTTTTGAATGGTTTTTTTTATAGGTAAAATAAATCCTAAGATTACAATAACAGCTCATTATTTAGTGATTTTCCTAACAAAAGGCACATCTCGCCCACTAGATTGTAACTGTTTTTTTAGGCATGCGTGCACCAATTCAAACAATGAAACTTCATGAAATTTCTTTCAACTTCAAACTAACAAACTTGAAAAAAATGGAAAAACAACAAATAAATAAAAATGAAACACCATTTTGACCCATGTCTGTTCACAAGGCAGCTGTCAAAATGACATAAGGAATGCTTCTGTACATTTGATTCTCAGTGAAACAGGAAAGTGTAACACACTGGCAAAGGGCATTTCTTTTTAGATTATTTGCATGTACAGTAACAGCTGTTGAAATATTCAGGTTTTTTTTTTATTTGTTTTTCACTAAATATTAATTTCTATTCAGAATGACAAAGCAATAAATAACTTGAAAAACACCTTTGTCTGTGGACATTTTTTGAGTAAAAAAAATAGAAGTACTATTAGTATTTGCATGCAATATATCCCATTGCATATAATCTACACTGTAAATCCTAACAGCATATTTTAATAAAATAAGTAAGTTAACTTAATCCTCCAAAATGTTTGAGTCACTCATTCCTATGAATTAAACCCAACCCAAAAATGAATCGTTGAAGTAATAACTCTGTTGTTTTTCAGTGGACTTAAAATTTGTGCAGTATTTTAGGTATTTATTTAAGTATTTATATTATTAATTTTCTTTCAGCTGACTTTATATCATTACAAAAATGTAAGCCCCAAAATGAATTGGCTAGCATTTTGATAATTGATCAAACAGTTTGAGTTGAACTAACTCATCAGGTTTTACTTTGTATGAGTGGATATATCGAGCATGCAAATGGCAATATAGTAAACCCTTGAAACATTCTGGGCCAAGATAAATTCTGAAGAAACAATTGTCAATCATCTGTACATAATCAGCGTATGCCCTTTCGATTCTTATTCTGTACGTAAAATCATGTTTCATTAATGCAATCTATTTACAAAGACTGAGTACTTTTATACATACAATCCTTTGTCTTATATTGTACAATACTTACAGTTACAGCATTGAATCATGGTGTTAACACCTCAATACAAAAAAAAATAAAGAATATCATATATGTGACCAGGCAGGATGTCTGATGCTGGTTTCAAAGTATTTCCTACACAGCACAATCATTCAAACAAAATGTTATAGCTGCAGGTAAAGGGATTTTTGAAAAGGCAGTCAGTCAGATAATATCAAGAAGGAATCATCAAGAGGGTCTTTGTTTTCTCATGGAAACACATGGCATCTATCTGCTCTGTGAGCTGCTCTGAATTCTTTATCACAGTTACAGTATGGATGTCACATCAAACACAACAACTCGCATGTGCTAAAGTGTCCATGTCTGGCTTTCACTAGGAGTTAAATAGATCAAAGTGTATGCAGTCAAAGAAACGCATCAGTAGGTACGGTATCTCCCTGTGGCTGTGATGGTTGTCCTGTCCAGAGAGCCTTCAGTGACTAACTAAAGGATGGTACAGTGTCTCTATGTTCCACTCTTATTGAAGTTAATGTGCTCACCGCTGCCACCGGAGCCTCCCACGTTACTGGCCCTGCATCCAGCCTCCTGGAAAAACTCCAGGTTTGGATAAAAACTCAAAGATATCTCCAAATGTCTTCAAGTTTCCTTTCTGTGTCCTCATGGAGACAGTCTCTCGTAGCCCTACTTCTTAGCCAGTTGGAAAGGATGTTGACCCTTTAAACAAATACAGTTTAATCACTTCAGAAACAAAAAATCAGGGATACTTGCAATAAAAGGTTATTTATCATCAGTCTTTGATGTCCAGTGCAATTCTAGAGTTATTGTACCCACTTTCCCTCAACCTGCCTTGTCTACTCCAACAAATTCGTCTTTCAGCCTTACACTCTCTGGTGTTACCACTGATACATATTGAAGCTGCAATTAGTGACTTTTATAAAGAATAACTTTTGATCATATTTGCTGAAACTTATACTAAATTTAAACTATAGCCTGACTGTAATACATAAGACAGATAATCTAGTGATCCTAATGGCATTTGCAAGAATCCACTGGGCCTGATCAAAAACAACCAAGAGCCAAGAAAGATAGTTGATTGTTGAGTCTCATTTCCAGGGTCCCAAAGTGTCTATATTTTACACCCTGGGAATGAGACTCAATAATCAACTATCTTTCTTGGCTCTGATTGGTTGGTTTTCACAGATTATCTGTCTCATGTACTATCGTCGGGATATAGTGAAAGTTTCAGAAAATATGAAAAAAATATACATTATAAAAATTACTTACTGCAGCTTTAAGGTTCCATTCCATTCAGGTCAAACAAAGTCAGTGTGCTGCTATTGTGCATGTTGGCTAACTGGAAACTGTTTTTTGCATAAAGCGGTAAACATTTGTTGCGGTTTGGCCTTCAGCTCACATGACAACGCTGTTTTGGGGGCCTGAAAACGCAATCCTTTGAAGTGCCACTGTTACTGTTGCAGTGTAAATTGCCAAAATGCTTTTGCTGTGACAACACAGACACACTTCACACACTACAACTATTGTCAGCCAAATAACCATGCATGAAACAGAAGAACAACGGCAGACTATCAAGCTAAGTTTGTGCTGCTGTTGAGTTTATCAGCACTCCTCCAGCAGAGTTGCTGCACCATTACTGTGATCAGCAGAGACGTTCATGTCTTATTTAAAACCAAAAGTCAAAGCTGACTTCTTTTACGGTATGTAAGATACGTTTTTATGCCTAAACCTAACCAAACTGTGACCGTTTCATAACATTGACAACTAAAATCAACAGAAGTTAATAGTAGTACTGGAGTATGCCCACAATTTGAAAGTGTAAAGTTATGTTATTTGTACGCAGATTGAGACCCAGTTGATGTAATGCTTTAAAATGCCTTACTCTTAAGTATACTGTCTCAGATCACTCAGCCTGTGGGTTCCTGAGTTCCTGAGTCGTAGCTCAGAATGTCATGAATGACATTTTATTTCTTATGCTTCAGCCTGCCTGCCACAATGACAGATGCATTACACTCGCTTTCAGTGCTTAAATGGTAATATTGCATTTTCATGTGATTTGTGTCTATATTGTTTTACTGTGCTGGATATAGTTTATCAATGTGATGTCGTGTCATTCTGTCATTCCCAGAATGGATTTCCTACAAGGACGTGGACTCTGTATTGCACGGGACATCATCACAGATGTTTATGAAGTATTTTGATAAATCTTTCCTTTAGATTTAAATCCTTAGATTTGGTCCTTGTCATACTGTTTACCAAGCACAAATATTGTCTCATTTAAAAAAAAAACCACTCAGTCCATGCTGTGAGGAACATTCTAATTCATCTTTAAATCAAAGAGCGTTAACATGCTTTAGAGACAATCAGCAAACCAATATTAGTGACCGATCCCATGTGTAGACAGGATTAGGTGTATGTGAGCAGCTATTTTACACTTTAAGACCAAAGATTCACGACAAGTTTTAGAACATTGCAGTGAAAAGTTGCAGCGGTGTGCACTGGACGGTCTCAGCTTGACTCAAGCCGCAACTGCAACTCCGCCTGTCACATCTCCAGTGGCTGGTTGTAGAACCTAAGGCATGTCACCTGTTTTAACAGCCAATCAGCTCATAGTGAAGTTAGCTCCTAATTCTCAACCTTCTTATTTTTTTTTAAGTTTTCATTATTTCATCAAAAAAATGCAACTATAGCAAGTAACTCCCTGTCATTATCCTCATTTTATATTTTAAGGCACTACAAATGTTTGGTCTGAACTGGGCTTTGACAGTTTTAGATAATAATTAAGAATCAATGATCCTGTGTCACTGGAAGTTCATGGGGTGCTCACTAAGACCTAACTGCGAGTACAGGTTCATCTGTACTGCAACTGAGCCAGATGCATGATGAAGTAATCTTGATTAACACAAACATGCCTTTTTTATACAAATGTATACCATACCATACCATACATTTAGACTCTCCAATAATAACTCTGTTAGTCTACTGCTCTATCAATGCTTTCTGCAGCAGACATTTTGACATGTGACTGTAGTAAAAGCACAAATGTAAATACCAAATGAATTCCATTTAGCTGCTTCAATTTCAGGCTAACAGTATTGTTTCTGCTGGCTCACTGTCACGGCTTACTGGGAAATGGGAATAGCATGAAGCCATTGTTAATGTTATAAGCTGTGCTTTTTCTTCTAGAACAGTGGTAGGCAACCTGCTAAAGGGCCACATGCTGTCCTTTAAGCCCTCTCCAGAGGATCCCTGTGTCCTTGACAAAAACTATATGGAAATGGAAATGTTTTGTAATTGAAAAATGTATAGCCAAAACTTTTGTCAACTCAAATGTGTGTCATACATTGCGTCCTGATCTGGCGCCTTTTTCTCTATAGTTTGCAGAACCTCAACAGCTGTGGCTTCCAGCCTTGAGTCTCTGTAGCTAGGCTTGCTATGGATTCCAAATCCCCCCCAAAAAAAGTCCCTGAGCATAATACAATATTTAATAGTGTGTGGACAGATTTGTTTGCTTTCACCACTAACACTGCTAGCCTAACTAGTTTGATCTGTGGCTGGAAATTAGCATTGTAAGGTTCAAATATATTTTGCAACTCCAGAAAGATTTTTCATAATAAAGGTCACTGACCGCTGTCTTAAGACAAAATCCTCTCAAATTGGGGGTATGTGGTCTAACATGGGGATCTTCAACATGAAAAAGCTTGGGAACCCCTGATCTAGTGGCACTCTCTAGCCTCCATAGAGTAGGTTTAAAACAATTTTTGAGAACAAACGCAAATTCATCAGAAATGTATATTTAATTATGATTGTCATTTTGACCACAATCAACATTTTTAACATTTAGAACATTATGATCAATATGACAGCAAAATGAAGGCCAGCTGGGGACTAAGGCATGAGTTAATGTGAGGTACTGTGCAGAAACAGGACACAATGAATATTTTATTGCTGGCAAGGATCCAACAAGAATCTCTCATGGCAACATCAAATTCAGGCAGAGCAACACACAAACAAAGCTTTGTCAAAGAGCAGCAGCACATAATGGACCAAGCTCCACTTCAGGCTAGTCCATCCATTTCTTCAACACTGAGTCACTTGGTAAAGTTAATGAGGTTAGCTTAATGAGCACAGCTACTCCATAAAAAATGCTTGTGGATAAAATGTTCTATAGTTCTTAATAAAAAAATAAAAAAAATCTCCATTGTCCAAGCTGATTACAGCTGTCTTCATAAATGGATGAGACAATGTGACGATTGCAGCAGCATGCCTTAAGGGTGAGCAGCAATATTTCCATCCAACCATACGGGCTGTATACTGTGCCTCAGAGTAGAAGACAAACAAACAACAAACACTACAGTTAATACAGAGAGCCTGACAGCTGTAAAGCAGGAAGTGGCTGCCCGTAAAATTTGGCATAAGTATTTACAATGAACTGAAACCAGAGGGAATATACAAGAAGCTAAAACATAGAGCTGTTGCTTTCCTGCTGTACAACTTAACATTTAGTTTTCAGGGTCTTTCATGCCTTAACTTTAAAGCTTCAAACGGTTAACAGATCTTGGTTGACGCCCTCCTCCAGGACACAAATGTTGGCTTTTAGATTTGGAGCAAACTGTGATTGTCTGGAATACTTGATTCCTCATGAATATTGAAAAAAACGACCTCAGAGACTGAATTAAAGGCTGTCCCTTAAAGATTGATTAACACACCACTAGGCATGGTGTGGTTTGAATATAATTTTGGATGTTTCAGTCCAAAGTTAAGTTGCTATCAACACTAACAATAAAGCCATACCAGTCAAACCCTAATTTGCATTACTTGTGTGTCATAGAAGCAGACCCTAGTGATAGCAAAGGTCCTTACACCCAATAGTTAGATGACCCAACAGTTAACATATTTTTTCAAAAAGCATTTAGAGTTTGAGTTTGTCCTGAGGTTCATACTGCCAAAATGTCTGGGGAGTACTTTTTGTGCATAAACTGAAGGATGGTACTGATTGTGGCAATAAAGGAACCAGTCTAAATCTTTAGGGATCACCCTCTAGGGACCATGTTGATCTGAAGCAAATTTCCTGCCACTCTGGACATTGTTTTTGAAGTAAACTCAAAGGGAAAGTTTGACTCGACCAGAATCAAGAAGTTACTAGAATAAGAATCGCCTTAAGAATCATCTTGGATTTGTGGAAAATTATAATAAATTGCCCATAACGTGAAAAGATGTTGAGTGCATAATCACTGCGTCAACTCATCTTACCCCAATTACAGTTCATAGTGCAAAAACAAGGACATCAATCTACCCACCGACATTGCCAGGTGTGTTGGTTACCATACCTGGCAAAGCTGGAGGCCATGTCATCAGGAACTGAAACTATGAAACTAAAGACTGGTTCTGGGTTTTTGAGGCCAATACAAATATTAATTTTAGGGCATTATCTTGCTCTGGACTGATGGAAATAACATTGATGGAATAACATTGGCACCCTAGTATACTACCATTAATGGGACAATATCTCTGCTTTAGGTCTTTATGGTCATTAATACAATATGAGCACATGACCAACAAATTCTAAGTGCAGACTTTAAACAGCTTTGTGTCACTGTGTGGATATTTACTGTAATTGAAACAAGTGTATAAGCAGTGCTTGTCCATGTTTGT